CAATTGAAAGGTAATTGAAAGTTTCCAGGTTCCACCGCGACTAGCAAATTTTGGAAAATTATAAATTATTCGAACGAACGTCGGGAATAATTGAATGTATATTCAATTGATTGATATTGAAAACCATTCTTTCCGGAGTCATTAAGTTAATTATTTAACGGGAGATTTACTAAGAGTTAAATTCGGTATGCTCCGAAATTCTAGGTTTAGGTAAACAAGGTTTACGCTGATTTCACGAATATTAAAAGGTTGTTCGAATTTCTGTCGGGCATGCTATATTCCTCAATAAGTAGTCACTTTCCCAAAAGAGAGTTATTTATATCTTCACGTGTATAATTTATAATACGATGTGAAACAATTATTCAATGACATTGAATATATCACACGTAACATGATAACATTTTTTAACAATAGTTTTAATATAATTTGTCATTTATCATTGTATATTTTTATGTAATTCAATATATCTTAATAATATTTTTACTTTACTATTTTTTTTTCTTTCTTTTTAAATAGAAACATATACACATTTTTTACAAACTAAAGTGTAACAATAGAAGTACCAAAAATTTATTACATTCACACATTTGAGTTAATTACGATTTTAATTGTAATTTGTATAATTCATAATTTCTCATTTAATTCATAATTTATTAAAATTTCCCTTTAAAATCGATCAAATCCAATTCAATCCCAATCAGAAAGGTTACTTGAAAACTATGAAACTTCGATGAAAGAGATAAAAAATTGCGCACGGAAAAAATTGCGTGGAAAAATATTTATGATCAACGTTTAACTGACAACTGAGTTATTCAGTGAACTAGACGCAGTTTGCGAAGACCCATAATACTGGAAGCCATAAATGCTCTAAACATCTGCGTGTTACGTCCCTGGCGTACACTTATACAAGCGAAGGAAAATCGACTGGAAGGGAAAGGACAATTTCGTGTGTCTACAGGGTGCTCTTGCAAAGTCGTTCAAGTTCGTACAAAACCATAACAGAACTCGATAACTTGCCCCGTTGCATTGGAAACTCGCCGATGTTCGTCGATTTACATACTAAAAGTTGCCGCTTGGGAAACGATCTTGGTAATCCTTGTCGATTAACATAATTCTCAAACATATTTTGAACAATATCGTAAACAACTCAGTTGGTTATTTTCTATCAGATAAGATTGTTCAGCTATTTCTACCAACAATATTGTTACGAAAATAATTAACGTAACTGTCGTGCATATTTCTCAGATATGTAAAATAATGTAAGCAAAAGTATAGTTAAGTAAAGTTAAGTAAAGTGTAATTACTTATTTTCTGTTAGACAAGATTCTGTTATCGATCATTTTCGATAAAATGAATCTTATTGTTACGTTATAATTAATTATAAATGAACATTGTTACGTTAAAGTTAATTATATTAATTGTTTTGTAAAAATAATTGATAGACACAGTATCGTTGTGAAAACAAGTAACGTAACGAACTCTTGTACATACTTGCGTGAGCAACGTTGCGAGCAAAATTAATTAACTAATTTCCTATTAAGTAAAATCGTTCAACCATTTTTGTAGAAATAACTTGTCATGGCTATAAAAATTGTATAATGGAATATTTTATAACTAAATCGTCAGCGTAATTCTACGCAGTTAACTGCATTCACGCATCGTCGCAACTTGTTATTCATTGTTCACCACGTGCAAATTATATTTCCATAAAAATTCAAGCCTGCAAAAAATGGTGCTTCCGAAATTTCGTAATTTTCGCACAAATGGTTTTCTCCCTTCCGTTTGAGTAGCTCGCGATCAGTTTTCAATATTTATCGCGCTGGCCTGCTTTTTTTATCATATTCTTTGTTTTTGAACGATTTTGTCAAATATTCTGAACTTCTTCATTTTTAAATTAATTTAATAACTGATGACTGACAATGTACATATAAACAGAGATTGGCTGCGCGAAAATTTCGATAACAATTCACGTTCGAATCAGCTCAGAGAAAAGGAAAGGAAAGCAAAAAGAAAACAATTGGCTTCAATACCACAACGCCTGCAGCCAATGTAATTTCCCTCGATGAATCAGAAACGTTAATTTATCATTTTCCATGTACGTTTGTCAACATTTAATTGCATGAAAACGTTTAATCGAAGCATTAATTCCGAGGCTTTTTTGAAGAGAATAATTTTTCGGTACCTGTATTTCTTTGATGAAACGGCTTTCCTTCGAAGCAATCAATAAATTGAACATTTTTATTTTTTTACTACAGTATCTTTATACTATACGTATATATAACACTAGTACCTATTCTTTATATATATATTTTTCTATTATATATCTTTTCTCATTATAGTATTATTACAGTTATTACAATTTATTTTTTTATCTTTCTTTCATTATAACTTGAAATTAAATAATTAAATACACGTTTGTTAAGTACTCGTCGATTTCACTTTTTAAATTATTCGAGCGTTTATAAAAATATTATTAAATTACTCGAATATAAATACAATCAATTTGTGTAGATTAAGTGTAGAATTTGAAAGAAAAAATTGCGTTTAAAAAGAGAATTAGAAAAGTTTAAAAATTGCTGACTGGCCGAATCCTCTCGGTTCAGTTCCCTCTGAGTGTCAATTAATTTTTCGTTGTTTCTTAAAGCCATTGTTATCTTCTGATATTTTACTGAATTCACGTTACATCCGAGTTATAAATATCATATTTAATCCTAGTTATAAATAGTGAACCACCGAGCTACGAGCTTCGATACTTCTATTTCGGACACACGAATATTCCTTCGATACATGGGGATTATATAAACACACGAATTTTCCACTGGCTTCGCGGAACAACGTTTGTGCGATATAAAAATCACAACGTTGACGGATAAATACGTTTTTTGATTCGACTAAAAAAAAAAAAGAAAAAAGAAAGAAAGAAAGAAAAAAAATAACATCGTATTCGACGACGAAATAGGAATTAACTGAATACTCGTTTTTGTCTCGTTGCAATTCTTTGATCCTCTGTAGCCCGAATTTTTCGGGTGAATGTAAAATAAATTTGAATATCGATCTCTGTATACAAAGTGAGTTCGTAATTTTCAAAAATTCTTGACACGAAGCAAAAATTGACAATCTAACAATAAATAAACCAAGAGTAATTAATATGGTAAAAGAGATTAAATATATCAGTGGCATATAGACCTCAAAGTGACAAGGTAATGAAGGGTTAATGTATCACAATGAAATACATTAATATTTATTACATTACAATGTAAATTTTACTTTGTTGGCATATTACTGTATTCAATCATATTACCACGTGAACTGAAATGTAACACACTACTTATTCATATCAAGTCCAATAATATTGATTCTCCAAACAACATATTAAATAGTTGAAACAAACAATTATACATAGAACGAAGCGGTAAATAATATTCACGATATCGATACCGTGTGAAAATAAAAAATGCATACATCGAGTTAAACACGCGTTCACATCGCAGTCGTGCGATTAATTCTCAATTTCTACCGTTTCAATTATAAAAAGTGTCAGAAATTGATTACGTCTGTCATACGTAAAACAAAAAAAAAAAGAGAGAGCGAGAGAGAGAAGCTACTTCCAACAAAACAGCGTGACAAAATTCTACATCGGAGCGTGTTTGTATCAAACAAATCCGACGAGTTGCGGGAGTTTGCAAACCGTGAGAATTTAATACCCTTTTCAGGAATTTACACGAGACACGCGTGCAATAAAAAAGAAAAAAAAAAAAAAAAAACGCCGTTACATCGTTGCGACACGCGAAGTGCCTAATCCTTTTTCGAATTGCTATAATTCATTAGATGCAGAAATTAGTTCTTTTCTAAATAAACTTGCCATTCGTTTATTGTAATCTTCAATCTTGTTCTTGGCTGATATTCAGTATCGCAGAACAAATTATTTTCACACTTGAGAAAAGTTGTATTCAATAACTTTTGAACTTTTGTTTTTAAATTCAATGGGATGAAACATTTTACGTAATATATGTCTCTCTGTCTTGCTTGATTAGCTAGTTTAGCAGTAAAGTATTCGAACACTTATCATAGAAAAAACTTCGATGTGAGTTTCGTGAATTTTTCAAATTTCATTTTGCAAATGTGACGAGACGCGACCGTCATGGATTATATTGGTAAAACTTCAAACCAATCTGAAAATATACACGGAAGACTACGACGCGTTTATCGCAGACGTACTTTTAATAAAGAATTAGTACACGGCCATGAATAACCATCTGAAGTTATACGCCAGCAGAGCTCTGTTTATACGAACTCCGCTTATTCGAACCAAATTTTAGCCAGTATCCGATTAAACGAACTCTTGCCGGTTGAATTCACCAGCCAGGTATTTGAACCTAAACTCCCATTATACGAACGAAAATTGCTAGCAGAGAGGAGAATCAATGGACTTCTGTTGTATAAACTGTTTGCGCCTCGGCAAGTTCGTGTATGCAAGCGGAATTTCACTGTGAACGAGTGTTAAACGTTGTTTAAGGCTCGTTAATATAACGGATAATTGGCTGTTTCAGTACTTTCGCGATGTCTTACAATTTTCGAGTTTTCTTTCAACCTTCATCCTAATTTGACCCTCGATGTTACGATGTGTAATGAAATTTCGATATGTTTTGCACAGATGATACATTTATAAAAAGTTCCTACAAACCAGCGTTAACCCAACCTTTTTTTCGTTTAAGCATCTTTAAAACTATAACTTATCTTTATTTAAAAAGTGAATTTTTGACGTGGAGGAAGTTGGTCAATATTGTTAAACGTTGTTTGAACTATTACGAACAGTGGGTGGGAACAGCTTTTTGAAAAGAAGTTCGCGATTTTTTTTAAAATTATTAAAATTAATTTAAGAACAAAATTGATTGAAATTGACGCTGCTACGGGTTATTTGATTAAATTAAAAAGCCTCTTAGGAAACTGAAAACATTAAAAATAGAAAGAGAGGATGAAATGGGACTTTTTGTTTCAGTGACCGTGCAGTCGGACAGTGTGGGCGTTCTGCCGCGAAGATTCACGAGGTTTCTGATATCCGCCGAGCCGGAAAGCGAAGACGACACGACAGAGAGCGGCATCTTCGATCTTCAAGACGAGACGTTGTCAAGGTACTCCGAGACTTGTCCGAATGCCGTGATGGAGACTTCGAAGGTGGCTAAAGAAGAGATTTCCGTGGCGTGGACCAGCCCTTCCGAAGGTAGCGGTTGCATATTTATCAGGTGAAGGGATATTTTAATAACAAGCATGAAAATGATGCGTAATCTTGCATGGAGATAGCAATGAATTATTCAATCGGTGTCTCTTTCCTCTTATTATCTAGTTATAATTTGTTCAAACGTCGAATGAAAATCAGCGAGATGAAATTAATTTAGTCGGGGTTACTTGCATCTTTCTATGCGCTTTTAATTCGACGCAATAAAAATCATTCCTGGATTTTAAATCGTTTTAATATCAGAACAATCAACGATTAAAACTCGGTGTCAGGGAAATGAAAAATATTATACTTTACAATGAATAGGAAAATATTCATAATACAATGGAAGCTATTTCATTTTTTATATTTTTTACGAAAAAAGCTCAATGACGTTATATTGATTATATAGTGAACGAAATGAACAAAATAAAGTAAACATTACGCTAGTAATACCAGTATAAAACAATGTTTCACACGGTGTCCCTCGTCGCGATCCTGATTTCTTGTCGTTTTTTTCGCGCCAATCGCCTCTCTCTCTCTTTCTCTCTCTGCTTCTCTCTCTCTCTCTCTCTCTCTCTCTCTCTCTCTCTCTTCGTTGAACAACGTGCGTTTGAATTGAAAAGTTCGGTCGGTTTCACCGAACGCTGACACCTCGAATTAATGCAATCTCGAGGCGGTGGGCCTGGTAACACGTGTTCTTCCACTTGTTTTTCTCATAGGGCGACGATATTGGAGACGCCGGATACATGGTACATGGACGATCAGAACTTAGGGATAAAGATATGTCAAGACTCGAAGGCCGAGGCGGACGACCAGGGACAGGTTCTGAAAAAGTGCTGCGCCTGCGACGAGGCCAAGTACGAAGTTACTTTCGAGGGACTTTGGTCTAGAAATACTCATCCAAAGGCACGTGAGAGCTTGTCAAATAAAATCGACAAACAGAAATGCATAGAACCCGCTATCGATCTTCTTCTTGTTTAAAATGTCGACGTCTTCTCGATGAGAAAACTACTCTCCTCTTTTCTTCTCTTTGCTCGAAACTTCTTTTTTTTCTTCTTCTTCTTCCTCCTCCTCTTCATCTTCTTTATTAAACTTGGAATAGGATGAATTACCTGCGGTTTACTTTGACGGGAATGAGATCCTTAAAAATGTTTTGTGGATGAAATTATATGAGAGACGGATTATTTTGAATGTATATATATATATATATATATATATATATACATTAACATATTGTAACATATAATATATGCATGTACATATAGCTTAACATATAACACATATTATATATACATGTTAATATATTATATATATATATATATATATATATATATATAATATATAATATAATATAGTACAATAATATTAATATAATATATAATATAATATAGTACAATAATTATATAACATATAACGTATGTATGTACGTGGCCTAGTACTGCTTTGCTAAACTCTAAAAAATTAAAGGATTAATAAATTAGTCGAAAAATAGTCAATCTTTGAGCTCTCCTGTAACATCGCGTTATTGGTTCAGTCATACATACTCGTTGCCGTACAAATAAAATTCAACTACGAATTAATTAATAAAGGAAAGTTATGGCAAACTAAGGAGAATACGTTGATGCACTGTAAACGAAATTATTTCAATTTCGATTAAAATTCTTGATGCTGGATAAAAAGATGGGATCCTGTTTTATTGATATTGGGAAAAACCGCGAGTTACTCGACGACGTGAAAATGGGTCGGAGGAAAGTTTCGCAAAACTTTCTTTCAACTCGCGACGGTGTGCGGTTACTCGATTGTGTAACAAGCGTTGTAGAGAATCGTTTCCAATGGATGCAGAATCGCATCTGTATGTATTCGTTTCAACGATTTCCGATATTCGGTCAAATTGAAATAAAAACGGTCATTGCGATGCGTCCGTTTAGTCTGCGATTACTGAAAAATTTCGTGCCAATCACAATTTTGTGTAATCGTGTTTATCCTTTTTTATCGAATTTCTTTTTTTATCTTTTTCAGGATTTTCCTAGCAAAGGATGGCTCATTCGATTCTCAGACGTGATCGGAGCGTCTCATACAGTAGATTACAGGTTTTGGAAATACAACGGTCTGGCCAGCACCGGTTTGCAACAACTGGCTGAACTTGGGTCTACTAGGAAATTGGAGTCAGAATTAAAAAATCAAGTAAATTAATTCATCGTCAATTTTTTTTTTTACTTGTTTTCCTTGTTTTTATTCGTTTTCTTTTAAATTTATAGTTCTAGTAACTATAGTTCTTAAAGACTAAAGTTCAGAAAGTCCACGAACTTTTACCACTAGTTTGGATTGAATTATTTGTTAGAAATATAAAATATCGAGGTCATTAATAAAATCATTTATAGTCACTTAAAATTACTATTACTTTATAATCAAACAGATTACATGTTTTGAACTGTGATGTTGATTTTAATTTTGCGTAAATTTCGTAATGTTAATATTTCGTAATATTAATCTGCGAATAATTTACTTTCTCGTAGAGTAAAAAGATCAGAACAATAATCAAAGCCAGGGGAATCAGTTATCCTAATGTTACTGGGAAAACATTTGCAGTTTTCCGTGTTGATCGAAAACACCATCTGATGTCTTTGGTATCCATGATTGGTAAGAAAAAATACGTTATCAATTCACTTTTCTAATTAAAAAAAAAAAAAAAAGGAAAGCTATCCCCTAATCAAAAACAAACAAAAAAATTGTTCTTGAAAGTTTTAAATATTTCAATGAAAAATTTTATAAATCAGAATGGATTAATAAAATTTTGTCAAACTTCAGTACTCTACTAAAAATGGGAAAATACTAAAAATGATTTTACAGATCCTTCGCCGGATTGGATTGTCGGAGTTTCAGGGTTGGAATTGTGTTTGGCTAATTGCTCCTGGATTGAGCACAAAGAACTCAATTTATATCCTTACGATGCGGGTACTGATGATGGGATCACGTATTTGGTAAGGGAAATCCTTTTTTTCAAATATTTTCTTCATTAATAAAATGTTAATTCAATTTCTATAAACACTACGCTCTACCATTTGCATAAGCATTTGGATAGTTTTAAATATATAAAATTCAAGTGTAGTGTTCTTAATATTGTAACGTATACAATTAATAGAACAGTCAGTATCGATTAGAATAAATAAGAAAGCAATAATTGAAGGAAGTTGAAGATTAATTTTACAGATGCATCTTAATTGAATATGTCTATTCAATATCAGGAGGATTGAAATATGTTTCCAATCACATTCGAAAAGTTTGTATAAATTTGAACGAAGTTCATTTATTAAAAATGAACATGAAACTTGAGTGATACAAATATATTCCTTGTTACGGAGTATTCAATAATAAAGTAGTAGTATCTCATTGTCAGTTATGTAGAAATTTCATTGCACGAACAATGCAAACGCAAAGACTTCGATATTTTAAAATAAAAGAAGCTTACACTGTTTTCAAAATAAAATGATCCAGTATTTAATAAGTAAATGTTTATGCATTTATGAAAAATTGCAAAAAAATGCACACACCATATTGTTCTATTTTTTTTTTTCAGTTATGCTCGTAAGAATTTGAAAATGGATAAAAATCTGAAATCTGGGTTAATAAATGTATAATATCTGGATAAGAATGTGGATTTTCGTTGATGGCGGAAGAAAGGCTTCCCCTTCGACAGGAAAAAATACCAGAGTAGTAGTATCTCTCGACGCGGAGCGAAAAAAAAAATTCGCTCGGGGGAGAGGGGGGGAACGAGCAATGAACGCCAGCTGTCGATCTGGGAAAATCGACATAATAAATTCGACGGCAGGCCTCGAGCCTAACAATTGACAATGGAGTCTGCTGTGAAAATCGCTGACGGAGCGTCGAAGTAAACGTGACTGCGACGCTTCCCCGAGCCGACCGAGAATTTTCCTCGTCACATCGCGACATTTCCGCCCTCTCCATCCTCCGAAATTCTTTGTTTCACGAACGGTTCACGTGCCCGTGATTCTTCCCCGAAACAATGCAAACGTAGATATTCCGCAGAACAACGAGGAACGAAAGATAACGTCAGAGAAATTGAATTGAATTTGAACGGAATAAGATAAATTGATTAACGAAGAGGAACAATCGGGCTCGTTTTGAAGCTTGAAGTTTCTACTTTTACAATATCTCTCGTATATTTTTCCAAAAATGTTTCCACATTTCAAATTCAATTTGAAAGGGGATAAGTAAAGATACATTTTCCCTCGAAAATTTTGCAAATTCAAACATTTTCAGAATTAAACCCACTACGGTTTTGAAGGTTGAAGGTCTCTCCTCTACAATGATTCTTCTTTTAAAGGCTGCTGAAATTGTACGAGCTTAAAATATTGACAATTTTTCATCGAGTGTGCGAATGATTTCTGCTCATCGTTTTCATTTTTACTCGTTGCAGTGAGATAATAAAATGAAGAATGATATTCAGCGAATTTCTGAGAATTTAATATCGTCGTCGATGTTTAAAATTTCTTGATAATTACGAATTACGAATTTTATAACGAGGATTCCTCGCGTTTGCAGTCACCGGATTCGCCAACCGAGCCGCAGGAATCCATTCGCAGGATAACTTCGAGCTACCCGAACGACTCGAGGTCTCCGTTCTACGATCCCTCCGGCCTAGATATGAAACCGCTGGCCAGGCTTTACTTAAACCGGCAGAGGCTTTACGAGAAAGCCTGCGAGAATACACCAGAAGACGCGGCATCATCCTCAGGCATGGATACCTAACAGTAAACGCAAAGACAACAAATATCGCTTTCCTATTAGTCTCCTTTCGTTCTCTGCTCGCAATCGTCATTTTTCGAAAGGCATTGAATGAAAATTTTTACCAATGGGAATGTATTTCAACCCTCTATAGAGCAATAGCGTGAGGGTAATTAAAAGAAAATTGTGGAAAAATTATCTTTTTTTTTTTCAATTTTAACGTGGTCATTTTTATTATATACCTATTAGGGCATGATCAGTATACTTTGTTAAATTTCAATGCTTAGAATGGTCTTTGGGAAGAATATACATATCACGTATAGTGTGTAGATAAAAATAATAAAAAGGATTGCACATTATCGTTGGAAGGAAATAAATCTGAACAAAATTAGAGGAATAAAAGATTTCATGCTACTGTATGAATGATAATAAAAATGTTCCGATCAAAGAGCCTACAAATGGTTAAATAATATTTTTCAACAATTTTGACGATCGACTTACAATAAATTCCTATCAAATCTAGAAGATTTGTAAGAGAATATTTTTAGACATGACATTGACAAGTAGATGGTGTAATTTGTAACATATGTGTGATTGCAAATACAGGAGCGTGCAAAATGACACCGTGGGGTAGTTGGAGCGCTTGTTCGACAGCGTGTGGTCGTGGCAATCAGCTCAGGCAAAGACATTACGAGGACGAGGCGGCTACAACTGAGAACAAGTGCAACGTCTCGTTAAGCGATAAGCGTCCGTGTTACGGGCATCAGTGGTAATTGCCATGATTTAATAAAAACTCAGATTTATCGTTTGCTTTAATAAAAACTCAGATCCGGTCGATCGGTCTGTCACTTGTCAGATAGATTTAGGTGATGGCCAAGATGAAAGTTTAAAATTTAATTCCGAATTTTATGAAACTAAGTTAGAATTGGCAAGAGATTAGAACGAACAGACGAGCGTTTGATACGGAGATGATGTTTAATACAAATGTTGTTTATTCACGTGTAATACATCAATTTTAAACTTTCCTCTATTCGCCATTATAAATTTATTTAATTCACTTACTATAATGTATTTGTTTGTTATAAGTGATTTGCTAGCATCATACAAATTTTGGAAAAATGAGAATGTTCCTTATATTTATTTATTCGAAGGTAAAAATAAATTGAAACCAAGTTTGGTATACAATTGTCACAAGGACATCAGAATGTAGAAAAACGTATTCTTATTGCTATCAAAATTATTTATTCACTTTGTTGAATACTCGATTTATTCGCATGCCTTTTTAAACAGATACATCGATATTCTGAAATTTTGCCTAACAAATCAATTATTCTAGACGCTTGTTCCCCTCTTTTAGATACAAATAACAACGTCGATAATGTTTGTCGCAGCAACGGCGAGCGAAAGCCAGAAAAGGGATGTAGCGAGTCGGAGGTACTGCGCGAATGGAGCGAGTGGACCCCGTGCTCGACGACCTGCGGCCCCGGAGTCAGCACCAGATCAAGATCTTTTAAGCACAAAAAGCAGACGAAACACTGCAGATCCTCCTACAGCAAGGAGCAACTTCAACAAACCCGCGACTGCGAGAACACGGAGTGCGGTGAAACGAATAGCGAAGAGGTAAGCGAGTCGCCTGACCGAATGGACGAGAATGATAACAATGAGGACAATGATAAGAAAGAAGATTACGAGGAGGACGAACCAGCGTCGGATGGAGTCGAGGAATGGTCGCAAGTACAGAATCCTCTGATAGTTTACAAGATCTTACTAATTGTCAGTCTAACTAGCACGAGCCTCGCAAAACACGTAACTTTCAAAAACAAGGGCAGTAGAAAATGAAACTACTAAATTTGAAAGAGTTTTCCGCTTGTCGTATATTATTATTAACTTGATCATCGCAGCGACAAATAATAATTACATTTTGAAAGTCGTTTGGATGCAAGTTGGATCGCATAACGTAGTATGCTTGTGCTACGTTATGTAAGAAAATCTTGTATACTATATGCACGCAGTGAAGAGCGTATACTATGTTACTAATGATAAATAATTGACGATATTTTAAACTGTTATACCCCCATTTTTTGACAGTCTTGTTCGTTTTCTTTTAAAGATGTTTTTGCATCGTGTAAAACTTTTATTCTCGAAAATTATGAAAATTCAAAGGTCTGTAAAAACCGTTAAATAATTTGTTTCATGACAAGATCCACCACGGTTCTTAAGATTGTAATTTGCTCTTTATAATCACCTCTTAAATCTTACTGTACAAATTTTTTTCTACCATTTTATTGAACTTTCAATAGGATTAAAAGAAATTTTAATATTTTGTCGTCTAATCCTAATATTCAAAGTTCAATGAAATGACGAAAAAAAAGTCATAAAGCAAGTTTCAAATGATTGTTGTAAAGAGGAGACCTCAGCCTTCAAAGCCATTGTGAATCTAGTAATAAAACAAATTTTTCAATATTTTCAGAGACGTTTATATTTGTGCAATTTGTACCATCCTGCTACAGGATGAACTGTGAAGTACAAAAACTGAAGAAGTTATAACAGTTTAAAATGTCGATAATTTTTCATCGTTAGTGGTACAGTTGTGCTCTCCACATCTATCATCACTAACGAATTTCGAATTGTTCAGAATAATCGATTCCACGCGCGAGTAACTATAAAACCATATGTGAACCATTTCTCGCAGAACCATCCACTGGCATCATCACGTAAGTCGAGCGATTTAATCGCAAGGGAAATGAAATCGGCGATCAATTAACTCTCTAGTTACAGAATGAGTCAGAAGCGAACGAATAATCCAGCTGATCGATATTCAGAAACAATTTTCATTTTCCTTCTATTCACTCACAGAATTAAGTTTAATTATGCTTGTCGAACATTATTATTCACTCTTATTTGTCACTTCATATTTCATTTAATAACGTCATTTCTTACGTATACTTTGTCAGACATTGATATGAAATTTTGTAATAAACGCAGTCGACTAACGTTCATCATACGTGACATCGTTTAGTTCATATCATATATATGTATGTACATGTTTTTGCTTAACGTTACATAGTGATTAGCTGTTTCTCGTTTCGTAACAACTTAGAAAAGAAAGAATAAAACTGAAAATTTATTTAAAATTGACAATTATGTTTAATCGCTGGAACCTTTTCTATGAATTCTAAATGTAGAAAATTCGAATTATTATTAGTGAATGTGTTTATCATTTTCTTCTTAACATTTTAGAAAAAGAAAGAAATTTATTTGAAGGTACTAGCGATAATTAAATTTAATCGGTAGAACCTCGAACGAATGAATTGAATATGAATTAAGGATACAAAAATTAAAATTAGATTGTACACATATTTAAAAAACAAATTCAATTAATTATTTAAAATCTTTTAAATAATAAGATTAAGTGGAGATTAAATAAAAGTGGATATATCAGATATCTCAGCAGCCGAATTAAGAATCTAATTCATCGATCGTATTGATTTTTTAATCAGAAGTGCATCGAAGAACGTTACATGGAATGGTCCCTGTGGTCACCGTGCAGTTCTAGCTGTGGTAGCGGTACCCAAACAAGATTTAGAATGACCCATGAGGATTGGCATCATGATGATGTAGATCCCACGGAGTGCAAGCACGAAGCAGTTCCTTGTCAAGCCAAAATTGCAACGTGTGACTTCACAAAAGAAGAAGCAGAAGGTACGAAAGCTAAGAAATATCTACCAAATGATTTTTCCTTTAAATAACAGGAAAAATATTTAATAAATTAGTTAAATATCTTATTTTTCTTGTTTTTTTTAAACTTTTAAAAATTGAGCAATAAAATTATTGATTTTTTTCAATAAGAATCAACTGCCAACTTTAATTTAACTTTACAACAGATATATGTTCTCTTACTATTGCGCAAAATTCATACATGTTTAATATTTATAAAATATTATATTACAATAAAAATGCAACAAAAGCACATTTTTCATTTTATAATATTATATGGTTAAAACTCATTTCAATCATCCTAAAATATTTTTATGACAAAATAGAAACATCGGTCGTCGTGACAGTCAACGTTAAAATTATATCAGCTTCTTTTATAAGCAGCAAAAGCAGCTCATAGTCTTAGAATAACTCTTTAACAGTTGTGCAGCAGTTGCAATTAAGCATCACAACGCACTACACTTAACTTATATCGTGACTTTACGAAGCCGGCGACGCTGTAACTTGCGATTATCACTTTGCTCCATAAATATCGACCATTTTTTTTCCCCCTTACACTTTCGTGACACCTGATTTCTACAAAAATTCGAACTACATCGAATGAACGCAAATTCATTCAAAGCACAAAGCACGAAGATAGGAAAAGAAATAATTAAACGTGTAGATTTTCATTAATTAAAAAGGAAAATTTTGTCTTTTATTTAAAGAGAAAAATGAAAGAAGAGAAATGTAAACTGATTTCAGAATTTTGCAAGAAACCAAAGGAGGAAGGACGATGCAACAGTAATATCATCCGCTGGTATTTCGATAAAGAGAAGGGATGTAAATCGTTCAAGTATTCCGGTTGCGACGGGAATGAAAATAATTTCCCAACCGAGCAAGATTGCAAGAAAGTTTGCAATGATTATCAGAGTAAGTTTCCTTTTGTGATTCCGCTGTCTCCTGCAGTGAAGAGCATAACTGAACCAATAACGACGAGGAATTATCGATATTTTAAACTGTTATAACTTCGTAAGGAAACATCATCGAACAAATCACTTGGTTTTATTCTAAAGCTCAAAGCCTCTACCTTGACAGTCCTAAGTTCCTTTTCCTCAAAAGTGTTCTTACAATATAGAAGAAAAAAAATAAAATACAATCGTGAAAAGAATCTTCAAGATCATGGTAGATTTAGTAATGAAAAAAATTGTTCAATGTTTCCAAAGACGTTTGAATTTCTACAAAAGTATCCTTATTTTTCTGGTAAAAACATTTTTGAAAAAAAAATGAACTCAGAACTGCCAAAATAGAGGCTTTACGCTTTAAAAATGGAATTAAGTAATTACATGTTATTTTTGTTTTGACAAATAAAAAAATTTTATTTAACAAAATCTTCATCCCTGTTCTGCGCACGCTTGCTTATTGCAAAAACGTAGGAGATTTAAGGACAAACTTGTCGACTATGACGAAAAACTATAAGGTCTCCCTCAGCAGCGTTCTCAGCTATCACATACCTGCACAGGGACAACGCACTACGAAGACAAAGCGAGCACACTACGGTGATGCTAATTAACAAATTGCATTACTTCATCTTACAAATCGCTTTACGTGCCTTTTCAATTCCAATGTCACAAATTATCGATGAAAAAAAGAAAAAGAAGCGTAATTACGTTGTGTAATTTGATTGAAACTCAATATTCTTTGTTCGATACGTTGTTAATAAGTTCATTGCTCGTTTATTATTATTAATTTCTACATTTCAATTTGCTTGCGAATTTATAAGTTTTCTTTGTTAATATAATATACAATATGTAATATCTTCTTACAGAGAAATTGAAATTTAAAGGCATCGAGGCAGACAGTCAAATGAAATCATCTTATAATGCGGAAGATGTTGACTGTCAGGTATCCGAATGGAGTAGTTGGTCCAAATGTGCGGGATGTCGTGGATATAAAAACAGTACAAGAGAAATCAAGGTAAACAAGTTGTTATAATTAAAAGGAAAATGAATATCGGACTGTTGGAATGTTTCTATTTGATTTGATGAAAAATTTATACGCATCGATATTCTTTGTTTAAAATCATGCTTTCCAATATTCATGTAATATATTCATGTAATGATTAAATAATTTATTACATTATTTTTAAATAATTTAGGTACCACATAGGGGTAAAGGTAAACGGTGTCCGACAAAATTATATCGTAAAAGAAAATGTCGTAAGGATCCGTCATGTTGTAAGTACTATAAAAATAAAATAATTGAATCCGATTTACTCAAACTGTCTAAATAAAAATAAACTCCGTAGCCTTGCAAGCTGATGAACCAAGACGACGTATATATCGTGATCAAAGATTTGATATAGAAGAAAATCAAAGTAAGTTTTGATTAATTAACATATTTTTTAATTTAAAGCAGTAGGGTTTACGATATGAGTGCTGAGATAAAACTGTTTTTGAAAAAATCTTTAATTGGATAAACATTTTATCTTAAAAACGATTGCTAGAAAATTATTTTTATTACAATCACAAAAATCAACATTTATGTGTCTGCACTTTCAATAGATATGTTATTCATGTGATTCACAGTTTCAGTTGACTGTGAAATAACACAGTGGTCTAAATGGTCATATTGCACAGCCACTTGTGGAGAAGCATCACAGCACAGAACAAGAATAGTCAAAGTTCAACCCCTTGGTCCAAAAAGTAAACTTTGCCCTTCTCTGGTAGAGTACAGAAAATGTCGTACAAGGAGATGTCCATAATAAGATGTCCATTCATATCTTTTACATATCCATTTTTTTATTTTACTTCCTTGTCTTTATTATATTTAAATGAAATTTTATTTATGTATCATTAAATCAAGCACAGTAGTGATTCAGCGAGAAATACAATAGAATTTTACAATTATAATACATGATAAAATATTACAATCTCCTGAAATGACGTATTTTCCAAAACTTTTCGAATATTACAAATAAAAAATGACAATCAATATCTGTTAGGTATCATCTAATTATAATACAATATACAATATTAGCTTCGAAGATGCTTGATGCACTGATACATAATATCTTGGAATTTAATTTTTTCTTTAATTATTTTATTCGCAAAATTTGAAACTAAGAAATGTTCAAAACCAAAATTATTATCTTTGGTTGCTTAGATATATATAAAATAGCATTAAATTGAATATGCATTGAAAAAACTTTTTTGTTTATAGATAAATATAGGATATTTATATTTATATGATGATTTTTAAAACGAAATTAATATATACACAACGCACAAAATATCGTGCTACATTTCTTGTCTATTTTTTTGTTTTAATTCTTTTAAATTATTTAATATGAAAAATGATATTAATAGATGTGCATTACGATAGAATGTATATCAAAATCAACTATATATGTATGTGATATAAGTAATTATAATATATAATTACATATATATTACATATGAATTTACATGTAAGTAAATTTTTCAGTCAAAGAGGACTGCATTCCAATTATTCTTAAAAAATATATAAAATAAAGAAACAATATACGTTTTATGTAAAGGAAATATGTAGTAAATCTATATTTAAATTATTACTAAAAAATACTGTTTTTCAGATATTTTAGAAACTGAAACAATCTATGTATAGTAGCAATACATATATTTATCTGTAAGAGTATTATTATAAAATATATATTTGTGGCATTTATTATGTACGATTTAAGAAAATATAGATCTCAATTTAAGATCAAATCTATTAATTAGAATTAAATTATTGAAATTATATATTTAAGATGTAAGTAAAATTAATTGGACAAATTTTATTAACATGGAAAGAATATTTATAAATAGGGACAGTTCTTATATATACTATTATCCAAAGACTTAATTCAATACTGTTCTCAAACAAGATAAATGTAATGCATCATATTTCAAATAAGTAATTTTAGTAACATTAGCCAATTTTTATTGTTTACCAATTTATTAATCATGGTTTTTTCTGTTTTTTCTTCAACTCTAGGATAATATATATGTCACATATCGCTAGATAATAATAAGTTATTAAATAAAACACAGTTATGTTACTTTATTCACTTGGATATATCTGACAATAACGATTCTGCTAGTATATAATATTAAATAAAATTCAAAATTTTGTTCTCTTCTATACACGTAGTATGGATATAGTTACCAATATATTAATAACATTGTTCAATACGAATTTTAATTAATGTACCGGCTAATCCTTATAAAGTATCGTATTCCAAACATGAAACAGACACAGGAACAAGATTGCTCCAACACAAACTACAATTTTTAAAAAACATACGTTTTTTTCAAAACAGAATTTCGCCGCCATGTGACCCATGCTCATTTACCAAATAAAAAAACCGTGATAGACATCAATGGATGTGTTAGATTACAATTGCTACATTTTAAATAATATTTTGGACAGTATTATATGCTGAAAAGCAATGGTGACATAGTGGCAAAATAATCTTATAAAATACGTATTTTCAAAGTTCAATGACAATATTCAATCATTTAGAACTACAAAATTTAATAACTTTTTATATCAATATAGTAACAAAACAATATATTCTTGCAAATATTCGTGTTTTTTTTAAAACTGATGACTAGAGCAATTCTGCTTCCTAATTCTTCCTATTTGAAATAAGGCATTCTATGAAAATTATCCAGAACATGTACTAAATAGTTAATCTGCAACAAATCATTTCGACTTAAAAACCAGTAATTTTATAATGTATATTGTAATACAATATCTAACATATAAAATTACTGGTTACTTTGTTATTCAATATATTAAATCATGTTATTGGAAATTACTATTATATACTTCAACTTTAAATGAGGTAGAATTAATTCTCTGTATATAATAATTCATTTATATTACACAATTTCACAAAATAAATCTATGTATAATATAATACATGTTAATTTATAACTAAATACATTATCATATAAGCTATATAAAATTTTATTGATGTTTTTGCTTTTGAAATACATTATTATTACTATTATCTGAAGACATATTTTTATTGTTTAATGCAGGAAGAAATATAAGTATGGTAGTTCCTTTTTTCTCTCGCATTTCTGAAATAATTCCTTCTATTTTCTTTTTTATATAATTTAATGTCTCTTCCTGCAAATTAATAATAATGATAATGATATATTGATGAAATATAGATGACAAGTATATTTAATTTAATTTATCTTATAAAATCTTTTTTAAGTATAAAAAATAACTATAATCAACACTTTTCATACCTGTGGTCCATTAGGATGATTAAAAAATACTTTAGCTTTAAAATTTTTTTTCAATATTTTGTTAATATTCTTAATCTTTATATCTAAATCATGGTCCATTATAGAGTGTTTTATAGTAAATAACTTAGTAGCCTTTAGCTTTTGTTCATTTTCAACCATTTCTTCTACATCGTTTATAGGTTCATCAAGCATCAAAGAATCTTTAAGTTGATAAACTTTTCTACCACTTTTAGACGACTCAGCTACAAATACTAATTGGAAATTTCTCCGATTAGCTAGTTTTTCTGCTTCTTCTAATGTGGTAACAGAAAGAGTTTTATTCGGATGTATAAGTGTAATTTTACAAATCCTTGGAGTTTTTTTTCTTAAAACTTTTTCTTCTTCTCCGCTATCCACACAATTTTTATTTAAATTTATAGTCTGATTCCATAAAAAAATTTTCTGCACACATTGATTTATATTGCGGTCAGTCTTTGTTAAAAGCAATTTACTCGGTTTAAATAGAAATTTAAACATTTCTGACGAGCGTAACATTTCTTATAGATAATACTTATCATCAGACATAAAATCATTTATTGCTGAAAGAAAATGAAGAGGTTAAGTTTCTTAAATGTCAACTAGACTTGCGAACTACTGAACACTTATTTTTTAATATTATCTTTTCATAATTTCATTTATCATTAAATTCATCAATAATTCTTTAAATAATTCGTTCAAAAATATATCTATAAAATCATTAGAGACATCAAATACATTCCTTTAATATCAATTACAATATTATACATTATGTAACGATTGTAAAGTATTAAAGTATTTAAAAAATTCATGTATAAAAATACATTTAAAAAAAACACAAATAACTTCCAAATATTAAATATTTAAATGATAAATGATAAATGATAAATCTTGTAGCTTAAGTCTTATAGAGCATTATTTTACTTATGGTATTTTCTAACCTTTAAAATACTTTTATTTCTTTTTAAATCTTCCAATTTCATTTCTTATATTTTATTTCATATCTTTACTTATTTATAAATTACAACATACGGATCGTATTTTTTAATGTGATAATTTTTCGTATGTCCCACACTGAATATTTAGTGTCATTTAATAATCAATTTAATAAACAATATAGTTACATACTTCATGCTTTATGCTTAATTTACATAATATATCTGTATATTTTACAATTATATATAACAATATTTAAAATTTTTGACAAGTTTATATCAAACGCGCCATTAAGTTAAGCGCATATTATTTTAATATAGAGTAAAAACTTTCTGTCCTTGTCCCACGCTGTTGCTCTCCTTGTCTATCGCGTGTGAATGTCTGTCCTTGTCGGACACTGTTGCTCTCCTTGTTTACCGCACGTATATGTCTGTCCTTGTCGCACACTGCTGCTCTCCTTGTCTTCCGCGCGTATGTGTCTGTCCTTGTCGCACACTGCTGCTCTCCTTGTCTAGCGCGTCTATATGTCTGTCCTTGTCGCACGCTAGTGCTCTCCTTGTCTATTGATGCTGGAAAGCAATAGTGTGCGACAAGGACATCCTTCGATCTATTGAAAAAAAAATTCAACTTTTTACACACCTGTCTTTCTAGAACAAAATACACATAGCAAAAAAGCGGGGAACCTAATTTTAAGGACGCATATAAAAAAGTTCGCAAATTATTCCGCGTAATTAGATTTTTTCGTAATTAGTGCGAATTGTCACAAAATGGACATGGTGGCGCCATCTAGTGGCAACTCGATGGTACTAATTATTTATAAAAATACTTATTTCTGCATTTTACGGGTCAAATGGGAAAAAGAAAGCTAAGGGTCTAATTAGGGTAATACAATCGCCAAAGCACAATTCGTTACGCTAAATTAGGTTTTTTCGCAAATGAAAATTTCTCTGTTTTACGGGAAACACTAGCACCGCGTTGTGGCAGACCGGTGGAACTAAACGCTCTATAACCATATGAGAAGAATAATTGATTTTAACTTTTGACGCCACAAATTTGCACTCTACGAGCATGTATTTCAAAGATAATCACGCTATCAATTAAATAAATTTGAATCTAATATTCACTATAGTTTGCGAGAAATTATGCACTCACTACTGGCACTGCTCCTAACGTAAACGAAATTGAAACATTCTTTATATACGTGAACTATACTTAAACAAAACATAAAACGCAAGCTTAGGGTCTCTAAAATCGATGACGCAGCCATAATAGTTCACAAATGATTCCTCTTAATTAATTTCTTCGCGTAATTTGTGGAAAATCAGACATCTGTCAGTTTAGAAGTAGCAGTGGCGCCATCTGTTAGCATCAATAGACAAGGAGAGCACTAGCGTGCGACAAGGACAGACATATAGACGCTTTAAACAAGGAGAACAGCAGTGTGCGACAAGGACAGACATATACGTGCGGTAAACAATGAGAGCAACAGCGTGCGACATATACACGCGTTAAACAAGGAGAGCGATAGCGTGTGACAAAGACAGACATATTGATGCCATAGACAAGGAAAGTGATAATGTGCGACAAGGACAACAATATAAATTAGTTCCACCGTTTCATCGCTACGCGACGCTAGTAGTTTAAAGTATCTGTAATGCGCAAGTCGCATAATAAATACGTAGTCTGTATTATCACCATGTACTCACAGCGTAGATGGACGATTATCTCGATAAGTAGGACAATTGTAACAGAAAAACTTGGTTAGTCAAAATTGTGGAAGGTAGACGATTATCTTGTTTTTATATGGCAGTTGATATGAAAGAGTTGAAGGAGAAAGGATGCATGAAGTCAGATTTCTGATGAACGTGGAGACAAATAAAATATAAATCGAGAAAATGAGCTGGTTACGAAGTAGTCCCTTGAGAACTAGTTTCAGCAAGCAACGTTCAAGAGACTCTCCGCCAAAAGATGCTGACCCGTCCGCTTGTTATGACAGCTTCTGTAAACATTGGCAACAAGCGTATGAAATCATTTTACGTACATCTGTAAGTTCAATTTTTAAAGCATAGTAAAAATTAGAAAATTTTATAAACACGTAAATCGTAACACAATCTTAAACGTAATCATAAATCTTAGAATTTTCTTTTCTTTCTTTAGAATATAATTCTAAAAGTGAATAGTACATAATACAAGGGTACAGTATTATAATTAAATATTTCATTATGTTTCCATAGCCACCCAAAGGAATATGTAATCAAGATGATGTTCTTGGAGTTGTTAATCATGTAGATCAGATGATAACGCTTTTAGTTTTAGAATTGCGTGATTTTAACTTTTACAATAACTATAGACAATCTACGACAGCGACTCACTCCCCTTGTTTGGAATATTTATTAAGTGAAAATCTTCTTGTCAAACTTTATGATTGGAATAAATATAGTGGAAGGTAAAAATCTTTCAATTTAAATAGTAAGCATTATTTAGTATAAATATAATATTGTTAATTATTTTTTATAATAAAGAGAATATAATCTTGCAGATATAATAATGCCGTTCGATTGGAACAATTAAAAATATATGAACTTTTGGTATCACATAGTGGTACTCTTCTTGCCCATGAACCAGTTGCCAGACCATTGTTACGATTACTTGAAGATTGTGCAAATGACATTATGCCGTTAGAAGTAGAAGGAAAATTAGTAGTGTTGTTAAACCAATTATGTGTTGCCCTAATGCAAAATATGGCGTTACTTGATCTATTTTTCCATTCAACAGCAATAGGAAAAAACAAGTTGGTAGAATATTACACATATATACTTATATGCAACATATGTATATGCCTTTATCTTTTTTTAGATTTATTATTTTTACATTATTGATACCGTATGTGCATAGAGAAGCTGGAGTAGGACAACAAGCACGTGATTCCATGTTACTTTGCATGTCTTTATCAAAAAAAAATGATGAAGTTGGCTTATATATTGCTGATCATTCTAACATATGTCCTGTATGTGATTTTTGTAATAGATCAGACATTATTTACATTTACTATATATTTATTTGTTTATATTATTATGTTTCTAAGATAGTTTTTATTTATTTAATAATTAGGTATTAGCTACTGGTTTAAGTGGGCTATATTCATTACTACCAAGGAAATTAGATATTGAAACAGATGATTGGCATCGATTAACACCAGATGATGTTAACGATTTACCAGCATTAATGCACTTAATGAATTCTTTAGATTTTTGTAACGCTGTCGCACAAGTCGCACATCCTTTAGTACAAAAACAGTTACTTGAATTTTTATATCATGGCTTTTTGGTACCTGTGATGGGACCAGCTTTATTACAGGTATGATATATATATGTTGTTCATTTACATTTTAATTTGAACTGTATTAGTCTGCAAATGATTTATAAATTAATTTATTAGAAATTTAAATTTATATGTATTTGTTTTGTTATTAGGTAATTACACATGTTTTTTGTTTATAATACATTGCAATATCTTTCTTATTTTACATATGTGTGGTGAAAGAAGGTAGTATGATTAGTAAATTATTAAAAATATATATATAGTACTTTATTTCCATTTCAGAAATTAGTTTTTTTTTTAATGTTGCAATATGTTAATCACGTGACTTTTTCTTGATTTCTATTCAATTTCATAATAATTTCAACCATTTTGGCTTATTTCGAGTTATTTAAAAATATTAAATATGTAATAATTAATTTAATAATCAATATAATTATTGAAATTGAGAAAAGTTTAGTAATCATTTTTATTTAATAGATTCTTATAGATATACATAAATATATTGTTCAATGCATATAACATTGTTATTGTGGTGATGGTAAATATAAATATTAATATTTATTATTAATTAAATATTAATAATAATGCTAATAAAGTTCGAATCATTTATGTTGCGATATGGTTGTTGGTGGCTATCTGGTGACATTTTTATGGTGCTCAGGATTCTGTTGATTTGACCATAGAACAGCTAGACGCACAAGAACATTGGGTTAGTACAAACACTATTAGTGCAAAAAATCTACATTTTCAGTAAAGCATAAGTCTACAACTAAGTAATAAGTAATATTAACTTCTTTATTATAATAAATTATAATATAATACGTTATATATATTATAATACATTATATATTATTACAATAATAAAATATTTACACATTAATTAAAAGAAACAGCTCTTTTAATTTTTATAATATTCGTCATGAATAAATATCAATTAATGATAAAGTATATAAATAGGGTATATATACATAATATCCTGTTGATATTATATGAATATAATATTAATAGAGGCTTAAGCTTTCACTGAAATTTTATATTACAATTAGTTACAAAATATATTTTATACATAAAGCTTTTGTAGATAACTTATAAATCACATAAATTATATTGCAAAAACCTTATATTTAGTAATTTTACACAAAAAAATTTCAAATACATCTTATTCATAAAATATATATCTTTTGTACATAAATTTTTAATATATTATATTTCCTAAAAACAATTTTATTCCTATCAAGTTACATTGACTAAATTTTTCAAATTTTAATACCTACGTTTTATGTTTTTGTTTTCTGTTTTGGCTTATGCTTTGTTTTATGTTTTATGCTTTACTTTTTTTGCTTATAATTTTAATATATTTATTTACAAATTTCTGTAAGTGCAATATGTCCCTGCTCCTGTTTTATTGTGTTAAAATATTTTCCATTATTTTATATAATTGTAAACCAGATAAGTATTTAAATATTATTACGTTTTACAATATAAATAATTTTTACGTATTATGCATTTATAAGTTGTAAGGAAGCATATTTTCATTTTGTTGAAGTTATTCTATTTTAATATTAGATTCAGCATGTATTTATTTTTAACTTTTTATGTATTTTAATAAGTTTGTTTATGAATACTAATATCCTTCTTTTGCCACAAAATAAAATTTTAATACTAAATTATAAATAGAAGCATAGTATATTGACAATTGCTAATTTGTGAATTATATATTTTTAATATAATTAATGCATTTTAAAATTCTTAATTGTTTGAAATTATTATTGAATTTTTCATTAATCCAAATTGTGACATAATAATATAATAATATATTAGGTAAGTAATTTTGTAACATTGCAGACAACAGTGGATGAATTAGTTGCAGCTACAGCTTATTTTGATTTATTTCTTCGTTCTGTAACTGAACCTGGTCTGTTACGTTCATTCGTTAGATTTTTACTTGAAGATAATTATGATGAATGCAGAATATTGGATAGTCTTATTCAAAGGATATCTTCTAGATCACGGGTATATATTTTATTTTTATTATTTGTTATAAAAAATTACAATTTAATTTTAAATAATTAACTGTGATAAATAGTAAGAAATTATAATAATTTTTGTTTTAGTTATGTATAGTAACATTGGGACTATTTGAAACTTTGGTCAATTTAAATTGTGAAGATATTATGTTGGAATTATGTCTAGGTGCATTAAGTCCTTGTTCTCATGTAATGCTTTCCCAACGTAGAAGATTAAGAGATATAGATCCTTTTGGACGTGCAGCTGAAAAATTTCTGTCTTTGACGCCAACTTGTTGTTCACCGTTTACATCTATAAATTCTCAATTCAATTCTTTACCAAACAATGTAACATATGAAAAATATTCAAGCGTTGCATCTGAATCCTTGAAATCATTACCAGCATCTATAAATTATGGTGTTAGATTATCAGACAGCCTTTATGGAAATTATCATGCATATTTATGTGATGCTCGACAAAAAATAAGAGCTTGTCGTATTGCCTGTTCTAATTGGTCATATAAATATAATGGAGAATTGCCAAAAGATAGTACTACTAGCAGTGCAACTACTTTAATAGATGACAATATGTTATTAGATCAGCCTCAAAAGAAAAAAGAAACAAACAAAGCTTTGTCATTAGAAACATTAAAGCAATCTGCACTTTTTAATGAAAGTAATGAAAACTCATCAATAGATAATATGTTAATTAATATTCAGTCTTTGCTGGATGGAAAAGATTTAAATGCAATAGAAAAGAAAGTACAAGTAGAACCTCTTGCAGCAACAGGCATAGAATTATCATTAGAAGAACAAGCAAAATTAGATGCGGATATTGCTGAATTGTTAAATGAAGATATTGGAATATCAAATTCTCTTAAAGAAATGTCATTAATAGATAAAAAGGAGTTTGATAGCGGTATTGATGATTCAAACACTACTATGAATTCACTTTTATCGTTGGGAGAAAGTAGCGGCTATGAAAGCTTCGCATTTAAAGGTTCATCGCAATCAACTCCAGATAACGAACCTAGCGAAGATCGAATAAGCGAACATGACGAAATAGAAATTGAATCGAACAAAGAACAAAGTATATTTCTTCATAGCATCATAGAATCAAATTTAATTACACCAGAAGAATTAACAATGAATAAACAGAGTAAAGAAAATTATCGTCAAGATGTATTTAATGGACAACCAAATGTCGGTATATTTTTGGACGTTCTTTTACGAAAACTCGAATGTATGACAAATAATAATTTATATGTTAATTTACATTTAACTGGTCTTATCAGTAGATTGGCAATATATCCACAGCCCTTGTTGCAATCATTTCTTTTAAATCATTCCCTAGTATTTCAACCCAGTATTAGATCACTTTTTCAGGTTTGTAATTGTACAATTATTTTTTTCATATACACACTTCATAAATAATATATAAAATTATAAAAATAAATTCACCTTTCATTAGGTACTTGCCTCTTTAAAACATAAAATAGACCAATTTCTTTCACAACACAACAATGTGGATATATTGGTTGAACAAGCACGACTATTTTTAATTAATCGCGAAGATAAATTAGTGAATGCAAGGAAAAATGCATTAGAAGCTGCTGCTCATTCTGCGCCTACTAAAAGAAATTCTTTGAGTGGAGAATCATTTTCGAGAGGTACAATTTATTTTTTGATTATTTAAAATATTATATTTCATTGATACATATATATAATTATTATATTATTCTTTATAATTATCGTGCATTCTGGAAGTATTTAAACGATGTAGGTATAATGATCACTTACAGTTAAGAATAGTATGTAATATTATATTTAAAAATTATTAAAAAAAATATTTTTAGGTGAAAATAAGAAATGGAGTTTGACATCATCTTTTACACAAATGCTTAAAAGATCAAGTGGTAGTTCTGGTTCAAGTAGTTTAATTAATACTATTAATCAATCAACTGGTATGTCTGAAAATCAATTAGAAGCTATTGGTCATGGTTCTGGATACCGGTAAATATTTTGTTATTATATCATTGACAAAACCACTAAATAATGTTATTAAAAAAATATATAAGTTTAGTCAATGATATACAAATTATTCTTTATAAAAGTTATAATAAACTGTAAAATTTTTCATCAATTAGGTATTATACAAAAATGTCCTGGGAATCCCCAAATGAAGTAAGTCCAATACAAAATGTGGTCTTATGTGCAGTTGTTTTAGATGAATGGCTAAAAGAATTAGCTGCTATTACACAAGAACATGCCATTATATCTCTCACAAATAATCTGGAATTTAAAGTTTAATGTGTAAGACGACTGAAGTACACAAATTAAAATTCAATTAACAATAGAGTAATTCTATTCAAAATATTATTTCCTTCTTACAGGGTTTAATAAAATAATATGTGATATACTGCTAGACTTATATATAATAAACCATAGTGTAGAGTTTAAAACCTTTATCTAAAGTTATTGAAGAGAATATAAAAATATTATACAAAATATTGCTATAGATATAAAAATAATAGTTTTTTTTTCATTTTAGAAGTATAGACAAATTAGGGAATAACATCAAAACTTATAGATTTATACATTTTTATTGATGTTATCCTTTTAGATGCTAGTAATTTTAGAATTATGTTAAAGAAAGATATACAAAACTTTTATTGAAATAAGCCTTTCTTGAATATTAATATTTAAACAGTATCAGCCAAATTTTATTATGAAGACTGACATTTAGAGCAATTTCCTATACAAATCTATATATATTATATTAGTAAACTAGTTATATAATAATTTTTTATTATATATGCTACAGTTGAATCAAGTTTATTTGAAATTATATTTGAATATATTTAAATAAAATGCAAAAAAAAAGTGCCAAATTATTACTTCAATATATTGCATAATATAATTTATACTTTGGAAATTGTTCCAAATGTTTTTAAAATTGAATGCAATTATATTATTATGACAAATTAATTTTATTTTAAAAATACAATACATTGGCAAGTTTATAAATTTTGTTTTGATTAATAATGGATAATAATTGCGTAGCCTATTCTTATTGTACTTAATTTAATGTATGATTGCAAAATCATAATATATATCCTGAGTAAGAACTTAGTAGCACAAAATATTATATAAATATAAAATTATATGTTTCAAAATTCTAAATGTTGTTAGATAAAATTGTAAATCAAAAGCTAACAGAAACTAACAATTCATCTGTCTTGTAGTAACTTTGTCCTATATTTTCACTTTTGCTACTGTAATATTAAATATAAAAAATATTTTATTATGTAGTTTTCTATTGATTAAAATATACAATTGTCAAAATTTTGTAATATTTGAAATGAAATATTAGCATAATATTTATTTTAATAACAGAAGATATATTGATACTTGCCAATAATGCAATATTATTGCACAACGAATTTATATATAAGTAAAATATTTACTTATATATAAATAACATATCAAAATTCAATTATTAAAGTAACTCAATTTTTATCAACAAATAGTGAAATAAGTATTAGCATATGAGTGCAATTATTAGCAGATTATGGTAGTTAAGAAACAGTTAATGATAATGAAAATGCAATATGAGTATTGGTTAAAATATAACTATATGTATATTCTATTTATTGTTGAAAATTACTATATTTTTTTATTACTTTAAAACTGGTATTTAATACAAAATATTTATTGCAATATTTATGTGATATTAAATTAGATTATTGGAAAACTGTCTTTATTAAAATAATTCAATTTATTTTTTTCAAATTTAATTAAAAATTATTAACAATTTTGAATCACTAGACTTAAGTGTCCTTCAATTGTTTAAATGTAGTGTATGTTATAATAATATTATTTTGTATAACTTAATACAAATTATATCAAATTTTACTGCAATTTGTAATATTAATAACTTAATAATAGAATAATTTTTTATATAAGAAATGTTTTAATACATACTTTAATTTGTTCAAAAATTCACTATCGGTGTACTTTACATATCTTTATTGAAAACAGTATTTTCAAATAATATATACTTGCCAATTTATTACAAATGATATAGTTTAATATTTAGCAAGATTTTATCATTTATTTTATTGTTATATTTAACTTGTTGATATATTTACATAACAATGTAGCTGGTAATCATATAAAAATTCTACTTCAGAATTACATATGATGGTATTTTTAAATATTTAAGATCATAATTTTCTTTATATAAATAATTTTATACATCTAACTATATTGTCAATTTTCTTAAACAGCAATTATATAAAAAGAATTATGGCAATAAATTAACTACATTTTATAGTTATTTTACAAAGAAATAAAACCAATTTGTGTTTAATTAAAGATATACTATACTTTATTACGATTTGTTATAACTTACAAGGAGATTTTTATTTGTTATATATTGATTTCTGCTTTTAATGAAACAGCTATTATTGTTATTGTAATCTATATAGATTATATAAAATTTAATATATGTATATTCAAAATTTGAAAATTAATATCTTAATTACATAATTATATACTAAAGATGTAACATAAACTACGATGTACATTATTGTATTACATACATAGAAAATCTTTTAATAAAAACAGATATTGAAAAATTAATTAATTAAATAAAATTTTTGTGAAAAAAATTCTTGTGTATTTATATATTTTAAAATTCTTCTATATATATATATATATATATATATATATATATATATATATATATATATATATATATTTTAAGATTATTTATTAATTTCTAAGATTTTTATATACATTTCAAGAATATATTACGAAAGGTAATACGTACTTATAATTAGATATTAAATACTATAAAAATAAGAATTTTTATTTTTATTGCTTGTGTTATTATGTTATATTTATTTTCTCCTATTTAAATTTCATTAAAAATACATAATATTAATTAAATTAATATAATATTGATTGAAAGTAAATGCAGTTTGCTATTAACATTACTATTTCGAATGCTTACACACACACACACACACACACATATATTTTCACATACGATTCATTAAAAATTTTTTTTAGATACTACATCAATATTTAATAAATGTTGAGAGAAATAAAATAAATAATAAAAATCAATTTTTCTATAAACAAATTTTTTAGTATTTATAAATTTCGAATTAAATTACCAATATATGTATGTACATTATACAAGTATATTATAAATACAAGTATCTATAGGATATAAATATTCTATTTTTTTGTTTTTAGAATAACTTGTGTAAAATTAACAATGTAGTTTAACATGTAAGAAATATTAATCGATATTTTGCTTCACATGAAAAATTGTAATATAAAATTATGAACAAATATGTATTAAGACAAATTTCGAAAGATATTGTTACAAATAAGAATATCCGATTGTTAAACTTGATTGTGTTTGATTGGAAATGTCCAATCACTGTATCGCTTTGATTAACACTTGCCGATAGATACAGTTTACGAAAATCGCAGTACCAAAAAGAAGACTAGGCTTAATCTAGTGTTACTAAACTGTCGATTTTAAACTTCTTTAATTTTCTCTTCTACTTCAGTCTATTGAAAAAATACGTACGGGCGCTTGTGATGAAAATCTTCTATGTGCACACGTATGTATATTAAAAGTAGAATTTTTTATCAGTAGTACTGCCATACAGTGCTAAATAGAATCTGACATAAGCATTGTAATTGTGCTCAAAATGATCTCATATTTTTAGACGTATTAATCGTCATCGATATATATATTCTAATTATTATTATTCTTGTACAATGAATGTTATCTAAATTTCTTAATGCCACGCCTAGATTATTCTAAAAATGTGTTGTGTTATAACGATAAAGTTACAACGATAATAATAGATTATTTTGTTATGTTTTATTGTATCTTGTTTAATTTCATTAAATGATGGTGATATATTTAAAGGTATTTTAAGAGTAATAATAATAGATAACTAAGTTAATTTTAATATTAATATACTAAAATTTAATATTGGTTAATAGTTAATCGGTTAATTGGTTAATGGTTTATCTTAAAGCATATAATATTTTCAGCAAATTCACATGTAATATACTTTGATATAAAAAATATTCATGCCTTTTTGTTTGGGAAATTATACAACCCATAATATGGAGGAATATGCTGTAGTATCCGACATATCAGTTGTAGATGTTTATGATATTGCATCTGAAATAGGGAAAGAATGTGAGAAACTGATAGATTCTTATGGAGTAGAATCTGTAACCAATCTTATGCCAAAAGTAATACATGCATTAGAATTACTAGAAAATCTTGCAACCAAAAATGAACGTGAAAACACTACAGTTCAAGAATTACAAGCAAAGATTTCACAATTGGAAAGTGATAAAATTGAAAAAGCTGAAGATAGACAAAGATTTGAAAAGGTATTTCGCTTAGATAAATTCACAATTATATGAGCTTGTTGTATTTGCTTTACTTATTTAAAGATATTTATTCATTACACAGGAACTAGAACAAATTGAAGAACATTGGCGTCAAGAATCACGTGACCTTGTAGAAATGGTTACAAGGTTACAAGAAGAAAATAGACGATTATCAGAAGCTCTACAAGAATCACGTAGTGATAGTCAGTACAGCAGTAAACAAAGTACTAACCACTTTTTCCCTACTAACACAATGTTATAAATGTCCTATTACATATGTATTTCATATTACTTACACTTTACTTACAATATATTTCCAGCTTTTACAGCTAGTCAAGAAGTTGATATTGCAGTATTGCAGCATTTAAGATCTATGATAGATAAACAAAGAGATCAAATCCGAGGAAGAGACAAAGAACTACTGCAAAAAAATATGGAAATAGAAAATGTAAATTGGTACTTATGTTCGTATATAATTTGTGATTAAATACTATAAATATGATACATTTGATACATAATTTTTCTTTATTGTGATTTTTCTCTTAACATTAATAATACATATGTCATTGTAATTTATCTTTACATTTTATACAGCTGACAGCACAGGTTGAAAAACTTGGAGTTGTCGGTCGAGAATTAAAACGGAAACAGCGTCAAGCTCAAATGCAAGCACGTGGTTTAGTAGAAGAACGAGCAGACTTCTTAGCTCAGCTACAAGATCAAAATCGTGAATTGATAAATCTTCGAGCCCGCCTTGGTTTAGCAAAAAAAGAAAACGAAGATTTAAGTAAATTACAGGGTTGCCCAGATTTAACAAATAAGGCTATATATGATTTAGATGATCCTGACAGACCAAGATTTACTACTGCTGAATTGAAAGAAATTTTACATGAAAGAAATGAATTAAAAGCTAGAGTATCAGATTTAGAAGATGAATTAGAATTATATCGACCAAAACCTGAAACGTACGTGTATATACAGTAATAATTTACTTTATTCTGTATTAACTTGAAGATTAATATATAATATAGTTAATGAATTAATTAATATACAATATAATTTATATATATTTTCTAATATCGTAATATATTTTAATACTGCAACGTTCATGAAATTAATTATCTTTATTATTATTATATAGAGTTGAAGATGATAAAGATGCTCCTGTTCAAGGCCCTCTTCCTTATGAACCAGATGATGCACCTTGGAAAAAGACATCTGAATCTGGAATTCGTAAATTGTAAGTAATTCATACGAAAAACTTAAAAATTTCTATTTTTAATAATAATGTCTACTTTCCAGTTTCCGGAAAATTTTCTCAGAGTCTAGCAGTAGTTTTTTAGTTGGTAGTAGTCCACGCCGAAGTCTTTCTAGTTTGTCAAAAATGGCTCTCTCTGGAAACAGTACATATGATGAATCTATATAATGGTTTTCAAACAAAATAATTTTTAACATTCTATGAAGATTAATTGAACGTAATGTTCTCGTATTTATTCATATCATTTTATATTCTAATAACAATATTTAATTTGTTTTAATGAATTGAAAGTAATATATCTTTCTTGAGTTATTGAGACTAGGACTATAAGACTAGGAATATTAAATGACTAAAAGGATGTAATTAAATATGATTTAAAAAAGACAAAAGCACGATTATTTATACTTCTGCAACATCGCATTTATCAAGTATTAAAATAATCTAAAACGAATTATATATAAATGTATGTTAACAATTGAATTGACGTGCCTCCAAAGTTAAAAATGTTGATAAAAAATGATGCATACAGTAGTGTCTTATTATTTTCATTCGTATTATATAAAATATAGGAAACAGCATAAAATATGATATCGTAGGCAGAGTTATAAACTCTCTTTGTCTTGTATCAAAATATACAATAGCATTTTTTTATTGCATATTTATAGTTAATAAAAAACAAATGTTTTTAAATACAGAGATTCAATTTCATCTTCTTAGAAAGAAATTTCATATTTTCTTCTTGCATTTATTAAGTAAGAATTAGAAGCATACAAAATTTCAAAAGTACTGATAAATAATGTATTGAATATATCTTTATTGATACAAGCTACTTAGCGTTATAGTGAATATAAAATATTATATAATTACATAAAAAAATTATTGCTTTTTAAAGTATTTATATTTATACATATTTGTTTTCTTCTGATCATTTTTATGTATTAGAAATGTTTTTTTAATTAAAATTTTAATAAATGTGGTTAAGTATATATTTTCTATAATTTTTATAATAATTTTGGTCTTAAAATGTATTTATATTTTTTACAATTTGTGCCATTAAATGTTGGTGTGAAAATAAAGACAAACATTATACTTATATAGATTGTAAATAGTATTTAAAAATTATAAACGTAGATATATTCAACATAATATATATAAAAATATTAATATATATATAATAACACAGAAAATAATAATAGTAGTGTTAATGTGAAAACACGCAACCACATAAAATGACACATTCAACAATGAAATATTGATAGTAGTGATTCTTGTCATTGATACATAAATTAAAATTATTAAAAAAAAAAAATCAAAATAGTTCTCACTATTAATTTCAACATACATGAGGAGAAACCTGCAAAAATATTATTTATAAATATTTTAAGTTTCAATAATTTCTATATTACTATCTATGTTCATATTAAAATGTAATTATTGATTTCGTTATAAAACAACAATTACATTTTTTAAATTCATTAAAAGTTTACAAAATTTTATAATAGCTTTATACTTTCCAAATATTATATAATATAAAATTTTAAAAATTAATATTTGTTAAATACATATTTTTAGAACAGTAAATATACACATATTCAATAAAACTGCTTTCGATTTAATGACGTATATGAAATGAAATTAAAAAATTAAAAACATGTTGCAGCTTAAGTTACAAATAGTACACAAATAAAAAATATCTGTAACTTAAGTTATGTTTTGAAATAAAGGATAATACATATTTATTTTATAATAAAAATATGTTCCATTGAAATATAATTTATTACAATCATTATAATTCTAGTCCTGTTACATGTGCCTATTATATAGATGTATTTATCTTACATTACTTTAACAAGATTTTTAGACCAGCTGATAAAAAGTTTAAAATTTTGCTTAAAATACAATACAATTTGTTATAGTTTGTTAATAAAATTTGGATATTTTTCAACTATTATATAATCAATAAATTTAAAATTTTCAAATAGTATTATCTCAAAATAACAATTTTTATAACATAAAAAGAACCAAACCAAACAAAATTTCTATATTTTATGTAGTTACAATGTTCACGTTACAATGTGAAATGAAATATTAGAATCTTATATTAATCATATTACTTACTGTTTATATTATAGCATAATATATAATTTTTAATTTATACAGGAAAATATTTATATGTGTAACATACTGTATTGTAATTAAGCAAACAAAAACTTCGTTCACACACAATTAACACAAAAGAAATCCATAATTTATAGTATAATACAAATAATGAAGATTAATGTTTGTATTTTCTACTGAAATACTATAACAGTAAAGTAAAAAAAAGAAAAATGTTTTTCAATGAATTTAGAAATATGTAACAGTGTAATATTTATGACGATAGTTTAAACTTTAAACTAGATTTCGATACTTACGTTATTATTCTTATTTTTGCATTGTTAAATAATTAGTAAGATATCATGTAAAATGCAAAATGAAAAAATAGTAATATAGAAAAAAAAATCATACAAAAGTGCCAAAGAAGACAAGAGATATAAATATTTTATGAATTATTTGATAATTTATTTATATTTCATTAATTCTATTAGGGAATTTATTAGGACAATTATAATACTTCTTGATTGTAACAATTATTAATATGCAAGATTGATGCCTTAACATTTATAGAACTGAAGTATATTTTATTGTAATCAGTTCTTTAAAAATAAATGATTATGTTCTTTATAAATTGTTATTTATATAAAGTAATATATTTAATTAATAATCATTTATATGTAATATTAAATTCCCTTTATAAATAAAAATAATAGTGATTTTAAAAAACAATATTGTCAAGTACATTTAATATAATAGTTTCCAATGCAAGAAAACTAATGCGATTGAGGTAGTATTCTGTGATATCTTTATGCATACTGTATAAATAAAAAAAGTATTCTTGAAATCCAAATCTTAAAAATGGTTTCCAATTGTTCTAACCATTACTACGTTGTTGATCATTGAATTAATTGATTTAAATATATAAAAAAGAAAAATATCAAAGTGTATAAGGATCAGCACCATGTTTTTTAAATGCCTACATTATATCATATTATAATACAATATCATATATAAAATACTTTTCGCTCATTTTTAAAACATAAAATGTAAAACAAATCAAAGACAAAACTTACAAAATAAATTAATATATATAGAATACATAGTCGACTAGTATGTTATAAATCCACGTTGTTCAAGTTAGCTGCAGACCCAGTTGGTAAATCTGGTGGTACAAACTTACCGATAGGTTGTATTGCCTGTCTTTGTTCTGCCAGTTTGCGCATTTCTTGCCTAAGTTTACTTAAAATAGCGTGATTTGGCTGATTGACAGCAGCTTTACCTTGTAACAACGTGATTTCTTGTTCTAATTGTTTTTTTTCTTTGAAAGATTTTACACTTCGAGATCCATAAAGTCTTAGCAAGGATCCCCAAGATTGAATGTGAGGGTGCATAAGTTGTAGAATAGCTTGGGCTGCTCGTTGTTTACCATCTTTCTTATTCCGACACACCTAGAATTTTTTCAAATTGTACGTCATAATTAAAAATATTTTATACAGAAAATAGATCGAAATAAAAATAACAAAAATAAATAAAAAATGGAGTATATAAAATAATATATTATAATTTTACTTACGACAGTAGCTTCATGTTTACCAACACGCATTGTAAATTCATTGCGTTGATGCTTTAATGTGTTTACAGAATAATTAATATGCATATCACCAAGACCATAATTTCGTTGGAGACAAGTAATTAAAATAGCATGTGGTGACGGTTCAGTTGTTTTTGCGCAAAATTCTGCGACTCGTGGATCGGTAATCGATATTTCATCAAAGAATGATAAATCTGTATCGGAATTTGCTCTCGATGCTTTAATCATTCGACTGTTATTACCAGAAACTGTATCTCCTCCATTATCACCAGAAATTTTATCTCTCATTTGAGGAATTAAAATTTCAAGAGTTTTCCTTGCAGCATTAGCTTTTGCTTGTTTTTTGCTACTACCAAAACCACTTCCATATTCCATATCATTTATACAAACAACAGCAGAATATGGAGTTGCTGCATTTTCTGCAAATATTTCAAAAAGATAAATGAATATAATATGTATTATTTGATTAATTATTTTTATTTAACTGACCTAATTCCTTAAACTTATAAGTTGGTTGTTTTTTAAGTGCATGTTGCACATATTCATGAAGTATACAAACATAACTTTTGCCTGAGGGATTCATTATCCAATGTTTTGGTGGCCTTTGTCCGGTACTATCATCTCCAACATTACCACTACTACTTCCCGCTAATCCAGAACTACTGACTGGAAATGTTATTAATTTTGTTCCATCAGGTAAAGTAGGTCGTTCAAGCTGCTTACGATGTTTTTTATTTTTTGTAAATTTCCTTCTTGCTGACCATGATCTAAATGATAGTTAATAATAATTATTGTAAAATGTAATAACTAGTTTTTTTTCTGTTGAACGAAACATTTCTTTAATATTACTTAATATGTACTTACTGAAATCTCATTACTTTAATAGCTTTAAAGCGAAATAGTGATTGGCAATAATTTCTTAATTGTTCACTATCTAATGAATGAGCCGCTCGATTTTCTTGAATTGTTTCAATTTTTGCACTAGGAAGGCTACAAACTTCTGCGTTTGGATCACGCTCTTGTTGCTTTTTTCTTTCTTCTTCTTCTTCATGAAGAGCTCTTTTATATTGAAGGCAAGGTATTGCACTAACAGGCACTTCATGTTTTCTCACACTGCCAGGTCCAAGGAAATATGGTTTTGCAAGAGTACAAACTCTACTCTGTTTATGTAAATACAAAGGCATTCCACTATTATGTGTTACTTGTACCCAACCTTCTGGAAGTACATCAAAATGATTATGTCCAATTTCTGCAAAAAAGATTGCATTGTAAATTACACTTTATATAACTTTTCCTTTTGCTTAAACAGCATTGTTAAAAGTATTATTATTACAGTTTTATACAGATTGTCCCAGCATCCGCAATATAAGCAATTTATTTTTTCATGTAAAATTATCCCTTCTATGATTGTATTACTGATGCTGGGATATCCTATATTAAACATTTAAATACATACCATCTAAGACAAGCTTTATTTTCTCTTCATATGGTACACTATCCTTCTTGTCTTTTCTTTTGCCTTTAAATTCTTCTGGTAAACCTAATAGTAGCACATAATACTTAACTAAAAAAATACTCTGCAGCTGCATGATCTATATGAGAAGTACAAAAAGAAATAACAAGTGATCTTATTTCTTTCTTTTTATAATTTTATTTTGGACATGTACAAATTTTGCAATTCAACCTACTCTTATAAGTTTCTTTCACATTAATATAACTTATGCTTACTATAAATTAGTTTCTTTTTCTCTTTATTTTATATACTTTACCTCACAAAATAATAACAAAATTGTTTTGAAGTCTCTGATTTACCTTCTTCAAGCATGGCTTCAATTTCTTCATCAGGTACATCAGAATCCATACTTTCATTGGTATCAGAATCCATATCACAGCAGTTCTGATCTGGATGACGTTCTAAGTCATCCAAAACATCAAACTGTCTTAAATCATCCGTAGCTGCAATACTGTCTGTATTAGACTCCATAATACAATCTTCAGTAGAACCATTGTATGCATTTGTATCATCATAGACAGTTTCTTCTTCCATTATATCACTAGAATTACTCTTGTCTGACATTCTACTACTTTGATTATCAGTATTTAGTTCCAATATATTTTGCTGATTATCCAAAATTATTTCATTTATGTTTTCATTTTGAATAGCCACACTTGATACAGCGACTTCTTCAGGAACTTCTTTATCAATCTCCATTGTATGTACAACAAGGATCTGCTAAAATACTGTAAGATCTAATTATCAATAACATATGAAATTTCAATTATAGTGGATGTTTTGCATCTTATGATTTTTTGTATTTAATTAATTATTTAACGCATTCGTATAACAAGCAAATAATTTTTAATCATCTTTGCGGCAAAATGTATTATTTAAATTCTGTGTATAATAAACCATGGATTAAATAATATTAAGCACGTTGTATGGCCACACCACTTTCACCAATGAGGCCAAAGTCCAATCAATTTGAAACCACTTTAAAAATGGCAACGAAAATTGGACATTTGCATTAGTGTTAGCAGTTTGGGGCCTATTATATATCCATGAGTACATATTGCACAAATGATATAATTATATAGTTAGAATATTGTACGATGTAGTTGACACAGTTGGTTGGCTCCGAAACTAGACAGGGACAACATTGAAAAATTGAACCTGTTACTAGTCCGAATAATGCACTTAATAACACAAAAATAAGATTTGTTGAGAAGTAGAAAATACTTATATTGACAGCTAACAAAAATTACATGCAAGTTTAATACTTTTCAATCTATTTATATAAATAATATGTAATATATTTAGAAAATATGTATATAGCACAAAAATATATCACAAAAGTTTTAACATGATTTGGCATTGAAATAATCCTAATCATTATTTAAATTTTGTTTATGTGAAATACGTGTCACACAATAAACACTATTATGATAAAATTTCTTTTTTTTAATTTTCTATTTCATGTACGCATTCACAAAAGATCAAAGATTTTATAAATATAATTATAATGTATTAATAATATTGACATGTTATTGTAATAAGTGATAAATATTTAATTGTAATGATATAGTTGTAAAAATAATTGCATAGAAGTATTTCAATTGCTTCTGTCTATAAGAAAATTAATAAATGCATATGATTTTCATATTTAGCAAACAATGTAAATTAATATTATGATACATCATCGTTAATTTTATATAGTTTCGAAATAATACCTTTATATATTATATATCACAAATATATATCTGAAAATTATAAACACTAATTCACTGAATTTAACAATGTTGGGTTAGGTACTGTTTAATACTCCCTGTCTAACTAAGATTTTCTTGATATAATGTAGTTTAAAAAAAGAGATTTCAGTCTTATTTAGAACACACAATCACAGTCACGTAATTAATTAAAATAAAGCTATATTCATTTTATTTAAGATTTCAATTATATTTCACGTAATAGCATAATAGAATAAAAACTTTTGTGTTCGAACGCTATCTTTCGTTGCATTGAAGAACTTATTCCTAAACCCTATCCCAACCAATAGATGTATAATGTTTGATTTTGATTATATCATAAACATAAACTACAGACAGAATAGACCTGACATAATGTTTTTTCGTATTTCATTTTTCCGAAATTACCTTATCATTTTTATATCACATGGAACCTTATCGATTCAATTGAAGCATTAGATCAAACACAGACCTCGTTTGTAAATCAAACGAATGAATACTAGTTCGATCTCCACTTCGATTGAATTTCTGTTTATTTATTATATCAATACTCAGTTAAAGTTATAAATGGGGGAAGTATTTATTTGTTAAATTTAAACATTATAATGGTTTGAATGAAAAATAAATTTTTCAAGTACTTTTTTAGATTCGAAAATGAATTTTCGGCCAATTTTATGCCAGATTTCTCTATTCATTAACAATAGTAATTTAACTAATAATTTCGTAATTTTCTTTTTTTATCTAATAATTACTTATAAATAAGTACACAACAATTCACAAAGAAATAGATTACATTATTTTTCATTTATTTAACATATATGGAAATAACTTTAAAGAAAACTTAAATACAATTGTATGAATTATTATACAGATACTTTAATACTTTTTAAATCTGTTAAAGATATTTAAACGAAAATCAAGATTATATGTAATATTACTTTTAGGAAACAGATTCGTGAAAAAAAATCTAATACAATCAAATTCATATCATGTATATGATAGTTACAATATTTGCAACTTTGCAATTACATTAAAAATATTAAAAAGTATATATCTGTACATATGTAACTTAATTATTTTATTTTATATTTCGTATATTTCATTTAAAGCATCGTTTACATAAATATTTACAATATTATATGTACATAATATTTAAATATTCTATATATACAAAGCATTAATAAATACATATTTAATTGTTTGTTAAATGTTATTAACAAACAATTACGTCTAAGTCTTACTATCATAAGTTATTTAACAGTTATTTATGTAAACTAAAAGCTGTTTCAAAAGAAATAAGTTTAATATTGATATTTTCAATATTATAATAGTTTACTAGAACAATTACAAGCAAAACTTTCATTATCTTTTACTCTAATAAATGAAAATAACTTAGTAATTTAATTTTTAGCTATAAAATATAACATTCCTAACAATTTCATGAAATAACAATGGTATATATATATACCCCCGATATGTGTATACATATATGTGTATATATACAACTAGGAAATTAAAAAATAAAATATTTTCTTCTAATGTTCGCTCAAAACAATACTCTAGAATATCAATAAAAAAAATTATTTTCGCTAATGATTTATCATCATGAGGTAGTAGTCATATGGAAATAAATATTTAATAATGTCGCTCCTTTTATTTGATTTTTATCTTATGTAACTTAAGTTTAAATCCAAGTAATTCTGAAAGAACACCCGAGAGAGCAGATAACAGTACCACTTTTGTAATTGTATATAAATAGGGATTAGCTGATAAACCAGATATTTTAAATGGACATTCAAGTTCCTGAAAATATAATATTAATTTTATTATGTTATACTATTATATTACTAATTATACTACTAATTATTTTATTCAATTCCCATGTTTTACAAATACAATAATGAAAATATAAATTCTCACTACCTTTATCAAATCTGCTGCTAATTTGAGTACATTATTTGCTACCATAAGCTCTTCTTTTTTATGTGGTTTTTGTTCTATTTGTAAATATAGATTAATCTAAAAACAAAACAAAACAATACAATCAAATACTTCAAATTAAGATAACTACAAATAATGTTTTATAGTGTGTATAACAATATGAAATTTATTTCAATTACTTGCTCAGTTATTAATACAGAAAGGTTTCTGTATTTTTTATTAATTTTTGTACCCAATGTCATAAAACGTAATATAAATATTCCAAGAGAAAAACTCCAGAACAGTGCTTCAACGTTATATCGGGAATGTAAACTTTCAAGATCCTTCATTACAAATATTAATGTTATATTTATAGAATTCTTTATATATAATATCATTATGACATTTTTATATTATTTTTACCTTAATCAATTCCAAGCTCACAAATGATAGTAATAATAATGTAACAATGAATACTGCTGATACTATTACATCCACAGAACGTTGGGGTCCTCTTCTCTATAATGTACAATACATTTTATTATTATTTTTTAAAAGATTTATTAAAATAAAGATTTAAGATTAAACATATATATATATATATATATTATTTTACCTTCAAATAAGATCTAACGCTTAACCATAATTTTATATTGCGTACTTTATTTAGCCGAAAATGAGGTAAGTCAGATTTTCTGGCACGTCTTGATGAAGTCAAGTGTGAAAATAATTTTGCATATAAGAGTCTTTGTTTATAAGTACGTTCTGCAACTGCTAATAAAAAAAATAATAAAGAGGATAATGTAAGTCTTTCAAATGCTGATATAAGCACTACTATACGTTCCCTGAAATTAATAGTAATTATTAATTACTGATGACCTTGTATTTTATTGCATGTAAGATAATTTTGATTACATTAAAATATTTATTACGTGATGATTTATGTTGTATGCTTACCAAAGAGTTGTCCCAAAAGCCAAATCTACAACTTTAGATAAAATATCACTATATGTCTCTAAATTGACATAAGTCAAGTCATTTGGTATTAAGGAACTTGTTACATTACTACTATTGTCCATTCCGACATGATCACTCAATCGTTTAATAGATGGTATTAAAGCTAATACCACACTAAGCATTAAGCCTCCATAAAAATAATTCATACTCTCAGGCATTGATTCTACTCTAGCAATAATAGCTGAACTGATATCCAACACTGATAGTTCAGCTTTTTTTATGTCACGTCGTGTCCATATAGTACAGGAAACTAAAATATAATGAAATTTTAATTATTTTCAATAAATTGTGAATATATATATATATAAATTTTACTTAAAATTACGGTTAAATAAATATAATTTAACATACCACGATCGTATGAAGCACAATTAGAACTAAGCATTATGGAGGGTGGTAATTCAAATTCCCAAGAAAAAGGATGTTCAACAAATTCCCCATAATTTTTGTTAGTTTCATTACGTAGATCAGATTCTTCAAGTTCTGAACTGTAAAAAATTTTTTAAAATTAATTTAGTATAAAGATATAAATGGTAAAACTTCTTCATTGAATGTGATTCTAATTGAAAAGTAATTAAATAAAATTTTTAATTTTAAAAACTTATTTACCTGTAACTGCATTCATCGCTATTTGTTGTTACTCCCATCCACTCTGTAGCAGATGTTGTAGCTTCCGTTAAATGATTTGTAATTGTTTCTTCACATTCGCCTTCTTCTTCACTTTCACATTGTTGTCGTCCATCTCTTGATACTAGACAATGATCTTTATCCTTTAAATAATAACTTAAAATTTTAATACATTTATATCTAATTGAAACTGAAATAAATTTATGAAACTTGCATAGTTATCTAATATGATAAAATATATTATAAAAAAATTAATAATATAAAGGATAAAGTATAAAAATTAAAAAAGACAAAAATATTTATCACCTTATTAGAAGTTTCTGCTTCACTATTTGAAGAATTGTCTTGTGATTTTAACAATTCAGGTGCTGCATGGAAAATGGAAGACAATCATTTTAGCTAGACCATTTTATCTTTCCAACAAATATTAAAGCACGTTAGCAGAAAATAAATACTAAATCTTTTGTGACTAACAAAATAAATGCAATTTTAAGTAAAAAAAAGAATATATTTTTAGATAAGTTGTTATAAAGATTTAATAAATAAATATATATCTAGAATTAAAATATAAAAATACATTATCTTAAAATATATAGGATCTTGCATCATATATTCAAATAAAATTTATCACAAATCAAACCTGAAAATTTTGGTTGTGAAACTTGTTGACTAGTAGAATCTTCTAACCAAAGAATACGTTCCTCATTATTTTTAAGTAACTCTCTTTTGTGTTTAAGTTTTTCTACTGGCGTCCGTGCAGTGCTTTTATCATTATCACTAGATACATTTCCATTCAAGCTTTCAAATCCATCATCATCCTGATGTACATTTTTCATATTTTGATCTGAAACTTCATCTATAACAGAAAAGAATATACTTTGCATTTAAACAAAAACATGTAACTAACAATAAAACAGAAAGTTTTAGTACAGTATATAATGTATTAACTTGATTGAGTATGACTAGCTGAAGCCTCATTTATAGGTAGGGGATGATTCACAGCCACATTCATTGGCTCATTATCACAAGATGTTTGAAATTCCTACAAAAATAAATTACTATGTATAAAATTTTTCAAAGTTATGTTTCTACATTTCAAATAACAAATTAATTACCTGCGATCGACTAACGGTCAAAGAATTTTCAATTACAACTTTTTTAGCAAATCGCACAGATGTTAATACTTCATCACTTACTGTACTAGCTTTTTCAGATGCTGTATCTTGAGATGATTTAGAATCTTCACGCAACCCTACACAATATATAGTAAATATAAACTAAAATAAATCACACATTACATATACAGATAATAATTTTATAATAAAAAAAACTTACGCAAATTTTGTCTTGTCCTTGATTTACCTATTCGACATCTCGTATGTCTTAAACGTCTAACCATTTTTTGTTTATTTTGTCCATCACCTATTGTTGGTCCTGAATGAGTTGACACAATATGAGAATGAACGATACATAATGTCAACATCATAATAGCGGGTATTAATACCTCTGATGTTGATATAATCTGAAAACATATATCCTAATTAATATGGGTATATATATATATATATATCATGCATACACACACATATATATACATATATATGTGAATATCTATGTATGTATATTTATAATATTAATAAAAGTTTCATACATCACTTTCATTGTCCTTTGTCATTTGACAAAAACATATACACATATTGATTAATTGCAAACTATATAATAATAAAAATAAAGCAAAAATTGTTAAACTAGTCTGCTGTATCCACCATTTTCTATATAAAGGAAGAAATAATAAACGCTGAAGTGCCAAACAAGCTACTGTTGACAATCCATGCTTTGGTTTAGCCTTTGGGAAAGAAGAACCTATATGCATCAATATTATATAAATAGTATATTAAGTATCATAACGTTGAATAAATATCATAACGTTAAACAACTTAATATAAACTTTGACTTGATAATTTCTTAATTCATTACCTCGTACAAGATCTACATCAATAAGTTCTGTTTTTAATTTTGCAGTTCTCATTGGAACATGTGTAAATCCTCCAAGAATATGTTGTTCCACAGTTTTTTCCCATTGTTGCTTATCATAAGTACCAATTTTTTTCTGATACCTAAAACATGCACTGTCTTAAATTTACAACTTTGACGAAAGCGTAATAAGAATATAAATCTCTTACCAATAAACAAGCTCATTCAATTTCATTTTTGTCAGTCGCTATCGTAATCGTATAGAATGACTGTTAATTTTTAATCTTAACCAATAATCGGCAATATTTGAGCGAACGGAAGATGATTTTCCGTGTACTTTTATTAGTATGTTTAAAGAAAATATTGCTCCCATAATATATAACAAACGTTATATACAAATTATGTTTTCAGTCAAGATATATTAACAGACAAGACATACAAAATACGAATACTCACAATACATTTAATAATTTTACGCCATTACCTAGAAACAAAATGTTCTAAAGGTTCCTAGCAATAATTGTGACAATCAGATAGGAAAATCATTTCCAATTAATCTTAGTTTATAAACATATACTAGTCAACTCTAAAACAAAAAAACAATTACACTTGCAATACTTTTTATATTAAATTTGTCTGCTATTGGAACTGTCATATGACTATTATATTTTTTTTTTAAACAGCATTACAGAATGCAACATGACTACCAATCTTACAACAATATACAAGAGACGATGGTTACTATTAATTGTAGAATTTAATGATTACTATCTCTAAAGTAATTTCGTATAGATATGTTCATCTAAACTTGCGATCCATATTATATCTTTAGAATTTGGATAGAGAAATTAAATATTTTTATCTTCAAATTATTATTAAATATCCCTATTTTGTTACTGCAACTCCGCATAATGATTTTGAAATACAATAAAAAATTTAATTAATGAAATAATTAATAACAAAACAATGATATGGAGCGATAATGAAATTGAAATAAATTGTAAGTCCTTCATTTTATTTATTTACATTTAAGTGTTTTTATTATTAGATAAATATGCATATTTAATACAGTATACATATACATACAAATATCCCTTAATGAGCTTAAAAAACATACGATTCCACCCTGTAAAATCAGCACTTTTCAAGAGATGTCAAAATATAATAAGTTACTTAAAAATAAGTCATGTTTCGCATCAAGACAAATGCCGATTTTTAAAGATATTTAAATACTTTGTTAAATAATGTTACGTTTAAAAAAAAGTTATTTTATATTAATGCATTTATACTGTGATCAATAAGATCTCAATTGATGAACAAATCTAAACAAAATGATTATCAAAACGTATTTTTTTGATGTATGGTTATATTTTGGCTTTTTATCTTTGGTAAATGGGCTACGTGAGTACGAAAAGAAAGATCTGATCGCTCTAAGAGAAGAAGTACGATCTATGTTTGATCATGCTTATTCAAGTTATTTAACATATGCTTATCCTTATGACGAATTACGATCATTAAGTTGCGATGGATTCGATACATGGGGCAGTTTTTCATTAACGCTTATTGATGCCTTGGATACTCTTGCTATAATGGGCAATTTCTCTGAATTTCGACGTGTAGCAGAAATTATAAGTGCTAGAGCAAACTTTGAAGCTAATATCAATGTCTCTGTATTTGAAACTAACATAAGAGTAGTTGGAGGATTGCTGAGTGCTCATCTCTTGTCACGTAAAGCAGGCATTAATTTAGAACCAGGATGGCCTTGTAATGGGCCACTGTTGCGCCTTGCAGAAGATATGGCAAAGCGTTTGATTGCAGCTTTTGACACTCCAACAGGAATGCCATATGGTACTGTTAATTTGAAATATGGAGTACCTGAAGGTGAAACAAGTATCACATGCACTGCTGGGATAGGTACATTTATATTAGAATTTGGAACTTTGTCCAGATTAACTGGAGATCCATTGTATGAAGAAGTAGCTATGAATGCTATTAAAGCATTAAATTATTATAAATCAAATATTGGATTAGTGGGTAACCACATAGATGTATTAACCGGCCATTGGACAGCTCAGGATTCTGGAATTGGTGCAGGTATTGATTCCTATTTTGAATATTTAGCCAAAGGTACTTTATTATTTCAAGATCCACTACTAGCAACAATTTTTCATGAGCATAAAGCTGCTGTTGAAAAGTATATTCGCCGAGAGGATTGGCATTTATGGGTTTCTATGACAAAAGGTCAAGTAACCTTACCAGTGTTTCAGTCTTTAGATGCTTATTGGCCTGGAGTATTAAGTTTATTTGGTGAAATTGAAGATGCAATGAAATCATTGCATAATTACCATCGTGTTTGGAAGCAATTTGGATTCACACCAGAATTTTATAACATACCACAAGCTGAAGCAAGCACTAATAGAGAAGGATATCCATTGAGACCAGAACTGATAGAATCAGTTATGTATTTATATAGAGCAACAGGAGATCCTTACCTAATACAAGTAGGAGTAGATATATTAAGAAGTTTGCAACATAGTGCTAAAACTACATGTGGCTATGCAACTATCAATGATGTTAGGGACCATCGGAAAGCTGATAGAATGGAGTCATTTTTCTTAGCAGAAACAACTAAATATCTTTATCTGCTTTTTGATTCTGATAATTTCATTCATAATTCTGGCCAGAAAGGAGAAATTATAGAAACACAATGGGGTCAATGTATTGTAGATGCTGGTGGATATATTTTTAATACAGAAGCACATCCTATAGATCCTGGAGCATTATACTGTTGCCACAGAAATCAGCATTTATTTCCAGATCAAAAAGCAATGTTATGGAAATTTATTCCTGTAAATGATAAGACAGAAAAGGAAAATATAGAGCATATCTCGCATCCAAAAGATAGTAAAGATCAACATGATGACAAAGAACCAATTGAAATTATAAAATTATCTGAAATGAGGCACACTTTTATAAATGAGATAGAAAATAATAATAATAAAAATACAATCGATCCTTTGCCATCCGTAAGTGGTAAAGTAGCTGAAATTACAGCAATAGAAGAAGAAAGTAAAATAAATACAAACGATCCGGAACATGAATCTTTGAAAGTACAAGTTGCTGCACCACCCTCAGGAATTTATAAAGCTGATGATAGTGAAAATATTGACACTTATGAAACTTATACTACTTCTGATGGACACTTCTCTACTTCTGTGAGAAATAACACAGATTCGTTTATTAAACAAAACAATATAAAACCAAGATTTGAACCACAAATATTGCTTGAGAACATTAGAAGAAAGAATTTATATCCAACAAATAATTCTGCAAGGCTAAATTATCAACTTTTGTCTTGTCAGTCTCAATCATTCCTACAACGTATATCAATCATAGGAGAATTTTTTTAATTTTATTTATTAAATATATATATTTTTGTTAATTTTTATTTTCAGTATATATATATATTTAAATTATTTTTAGCAATTGAAAAGTTGTAATGCATAATTTATAAATACATGTTTGAATAAAATATATCATAAATCAATGGTTTCTTTTTACTCCGTGCATTTTTTCCATCATATACCAAGATATGATCCTCCTCTCCAAGATTTTTTGCAACTTAAACAAAAGATCTATAAATTTATTTTAAGATATACGTCATATAAATTTACTTTGATGAAATAAAAATTCAATAAAACGTTCTAATATGATCTATAATTAATTTATTTAAATTAATTTAATTTTAATGAAAATATTTAGTGGGAAACTTACGATTAATTCTAAAAATGATCAGAAATTTTTAAATTAATAATTGAATAAAATAGATCCAAACCATCATCATTGATTTCAAGAATACATTAATTGATAAAGCGATTTATAAAACCGTAATACCCCCTTTAAAAGGTTCCTCCTTAGAATATAAATTGAACTAATAATACCAACTATTTAACATATACATATAGAAAATTCTAAGTTTAGTTATATTACAAATTATAACAATTAGAAATTGCAAAAAGAAAATAATTTCAATTTAATATATTTTCGTATTTTTAACAATTAATAATATAATTTTATAATATAATATTATTTTGAAATAAAAGTGCGACTATATATCCTAGTAATGATTTTGAATTTTCACGCACTCTGACGAATAGAGTACAAGTACCAACCAACGCGAACCACATCAAATAATCAAATGCATAACAATATTATAATTTTATAATATTTTAGAATGTAAAAAGTTAAAAGAAAGAAACTTTTTTAATTATTATAAATTATAATAATTTTTATAAATGGATTATAACAATGAAAACTAAAATTAAAATACTTGCCAACTATACAAATATATAGTTAAACGTATTATTTTTTTTATATGTTGCAAGCACTGTATGCATCTTTAAGAAAATAAATTAAAATTTATAAAATAATTTCATTACAAATTATTTTCTTTGGATATATTTTTATATATTATGTGTATTGTATGCATGTTTGTATCTTTAATGTTTAAAGTTTTGTATAAACAAATATTAAATGCGTAATTTAATAATAAAACATTAGTGTAATCATATTAGTAATATGCGATGGTAATATCCGTTTAGTAATGGATTGTTACTGGATTAAAATCGGGGATTCCCTTACTAATCAGAGGATAAGTAGGGGATTATCTTTTTCCCCTTCCATTTCTTCGGTTTTGTATATTTATACGACGTTGAGCTCGCCATTTGAACAGAATTGATTTATCGGAGCAAGAAAGAAGATTGCTAATAATTACAAATTGCATAAATTTAACGGTAAGCGAAGTATTATATTTAATATCGTTTCTCTATATGTTGCTATTTTATACGATACTATTGTTAGAAATATAAAATATTCATCAATAAGTGTAATAAAAAATTGTTTATAACACCCTATATAATTGTACAAATATGATTTGAAGTCTGTTCTGAAATTTATATGTCCAAAATAGGTCTGTGCCTATAAACGGTCATGTCGTTATTTATCATCTATAAATGCATTGTTAATATTGATAAGAAGAAAAAATTTAACATTTAATTATTTAATCCATTTATAGTCAACATTGCCTTAACGCAAAATTTTATTTAGTTCTTCCCCTTAGTCAATTTATATTCTTCATCTTTCTTTAACGTTATAATTAAAAAAGTGAATTTCAAAAATTCGCTGATCACTTTTCTTTTTGTCACTATTTCTTCTATCTTAGATTTTATAATCTTTCGAGATTTAAAGAAATAGAAGTATTTACATATAATATTGTAATAATATTCTTTTACATACATGTGCATTATCGAACATTCAAATTCGATTTTCTCGAAAATTAAGCCTCGAACAAAAAGATGTATATTTTTTTATTTTTTTATGAAAACCATATGCTATGCATAATGATACTATAACAAATTGAGTATTACAAATAAATTTATTACAACAAATTAATATTAATTAATTAATTAATTAATTAATTAATTATCGTATAATAAATCGTGATTGGCTTGTCTTACAATATTGAGTTGTCTGAAAACATCTTACGTTTTGCATTTTTTTGCAGATGGACAAAAAAGCTGTCGATAATAGAGCAAATCAATCTAATCCCAACCATACACCAACTGGACAAGGGCACAAAGCCGGGTACCATGGAGCTGGTACAAAAGCTGATTTAGATAATCGTTCCAACCAAATGAACCCCAATAACCCATTATACAAAAAGTGAATGAGTTACGTCTCATTATTGTAATTGTATCATCATTATATCTAATGGAAACTATTTTATTCGAATGATACAATAAATATGCATTACTAAAATATAACTTCTGCTTATATTTATTTTGACTCCTTTCGAAAGTATCTCGAGTTTAAAGAATTGCATAAAACAAGTTATTACAGCTTATATATAAATCAGATATAATTATATATATAAATAGATATAATTATAGTTTTTGTAAATGTAGTGAATTGCATTAATTTCATCTCATTTTCTGCTATTTTTCGTTACATGTATTTACTTTCATGTTAGACGGATATCATGTTTGTGAAACAAAAATTAGATAAAAATTGCTATCCATATGTTATCAATAATGTTATTAATATTATATTAAATAATATTAAATAAGCTTATTTATATTCATAAATGATTCTTAATTACCTTTTCAAAGGAGATTTATAATAAAAATAGTAATTTGTACGAAGTGAAAAGAACCAATCATAAATTTTATTGTCTGCATTGTGCGGACATAGTGGCATTTATTTTAATGTTTCGAAGTTTTCACTGTTATTTCTAAAAAAGTAACTTTCTCTATAACAGAAAGTATCTGGTAACCAGAAAAATCTGATTCGGTTATGCTCTAAATATTCTTTATCACTACATAAAGGATTCATTCTACCCAGGAACATCATTGTATTTACATCAATCGCAATGGAATTATTGGTAAGCTGCATATCGTTAGTGTTAATAATTAGTTAGTGTTAAATTTTTGTAGGAGTAAAACCTATTTCATTTTTCTGTGTCATTTTAGAAAATTACCAGCCTATTTTGTTTTCTCGCTTTAATAATATCTGTAAATGCGAGAGGAAATACAGAAGAAACATTTATACGAAGCGACGATATGAAAACTGGTAAAATTGAAAGCATAATTTTCTATATATCACGTGTGTCTCAAATTATAATAATTCGCAAATTGATTAAAATACGGTAAGAGTTAATACAATTTTTAGTATATCTAAATTCATTTTTGTTTAGACGAAGTACCACGTGTAAAAATCAAAGTATTCCGAGGTGCAAGTAAAGAACAAGATGGAGAACAATTCGCTACATGGGGATTTTGGATCAAACAACCAGCGACAATGAAATTAACGCGTTGATCCTCTATAACATCGTGTAATTTAAAACTCACGTATCCATGTAATATTTTAAAAATTTTATTTTATATACTTATCGCTTCATTATTGTATTTCATCAGTACACCATTGCAGAAATACTAAATGACTTATTTAATACAATTATTAATTTCCAGGTTTTAAATTGGAATAAATAGCTAACTAATAATATTTCTTTTATTTTATAAATAAATGAAATTCTAATTATGGAAGATTAAATGTCACTTATATAATAAATATTATGTGCATAAAGATTCTTCATTTATTTTTTGTATAAAATTTTTTTAGATAAAATAAAATTTTTACGAATACATATGGAATGCGTAGATATATAGTCTAAATTTCAATTACTATTTCTTAATAAAACATGGATGGTTATAATAAATTTACACGATATTATCTCTAGGAATATAATATATATAAAGATATATGTTTTACTCATTTCACATTTTTCATAATTCTGATGAAATTATTTAAAGAGTATATATTACAGGAATCAAAGGTGTTGGACAAAAGCAAATGGCACGTATGTAAAATTTTGATAATATATTTGCCATTTGTCATTTTTATACATACATGTATATATATAAATTATACATTATATACATATAGATATACAATTTATATATACACACATGGAAGCCCATTTTACATCATTTTATAATATCTATTATGCTTTTAATTAACTACAACATTAATAAGGTTGACTTCGATATGTCACGAAAGCTTTGTGCTCTCGCGAAAGCGTTTTAAATGAGTAATTTTCCATTGGATGATTCATAAACCATTGCGAATAATTATTCTGCATATATGTCAGATAATAATAAAAATCTGAATAAATTAACCAGTCATTATTGCACAATCTCTCTTAGTATTTGATCAATTTTTAATAAATATTTTAACATTATTCGATGAAAGAAAAATTTTAATTATTTCATATCGAACGTATTATTTGACTATCTTCAATATCTTAAATATTTGTCTGATATATTTTACAAAAGAAAATTGAAAATTGTAATACATGAAATGTTGATCTGAAAGATCTAATTTTCGAAGTAAGTATTTATCAGAAATGTCTTTATATATGTTCGTACTTATTTTTTTCTTTTATTCACGCATCAGTCATAATCATAAAATATTTAAAAAGATACCAGAAATTCTGCGTAAAAAATAAAAGTAAAAATGAAAACATATTTCGCATTTGCATATAGCGCTGATAAATACTGTTGATTAATAAGATTGTGTTGTCAAAAAGAAGCGCTTTTATTTCAACTTAAAAACGAACATTTCATACATTACAATCGAATATCTTCGTATCATATTAAATCATATTAAATCGAATTTCTTAGAATGAGTCAGATTCAAATAATGTTAATGTATGTACAAAAGTACCGTGTTATAAAAAAAGAACGAACGCTGAAAAACGATAATGTTTCTTGTACACGTGTACACGTTGATTATTTTAAGAATTTAAGGAATTCCAATGTCAATAAACGCACTTAATCCTTGAAAAACGTTGATTCTTTAAAAGATCTTTTAGGATCTTTTTATCATTTAAATAGAAAAGAAGAATAATTGTATAATTATAAAATAAATATATGTTAGTAAAAATATATTCAATCGTTATATATCAGAATAATTTAAAAATATTCAATAAAAGAAAAATCTAATATAAAGATTTGTTTTTTTAATCAAATCTGACCCGGCCGCCATCGACGTGCATGCTGTTCGAAGATTAATATTACACCTTTAATCAGAAAAAAATTCCCTAATTTCGGAAATATTGCATTCACAAATAGTTATTCAAACTTCTCTTTAACTTCCTTTTGTAATCATTGTAATTTTCATGCACGACGTTCTGTGTATTTATTTAATGTTTATTTCCTTTCTTGGTCGACAATTATAATCGAAGCTGTTATATTTTTTAAAATAAAAGATCGATACTATGTATTCATATACGTATATATGTTACTGAATTTTCTCTTTATCTTCTTTCAGATAACAAGGCAATCATGTTTGTTTTACATTGATTCATCTACGTTAATGATGTAAGGAGAAAACGATTCGTCGAGAAAAGAGAAAACTTAAAATTAAAATAATATACGAATGATTTCATTTATACATTAAATTTGATCATAATCTTAATGATTAACGCTTAACTTCTATAACTCTCATTATAACGTTTAATATCATTGACAAAGATTTCCTTCGATCAATAGATCGTATTACATTAATTATTATTATTATTATTATTATTATTATTATTATTATTATTATTATTATTATTATTATCATCATCATTATTATTATCTTGGAAGACATCATTGGAAGAGTCGTTTCATAAATATTATCATATCTCATTTAAATAACGTATTGTAACTGCGAGATGTTCCTGTTCCCTTTCTACTTTAAAAAAGGTGATAACTTATAAAATACCGAATAAAACTCTTAATTCTGCTAATTAATAATAATATTAATATCATTTTAACGATGTATTAAGGCTTGTTACAACGATATTAATATTATTCCCGTATCATTTATTCTTTCTGACTTTTTTTGGGTTCGATCCGCGTTCATTTTTCCATAATAAAATTTTCACATTGAATTTTTGATTATAATCCTACATAATACTTGCAACAATTACCACGCACGTTTGTCCCATAAATACATATGTGTTTTGACACTGTGAAGAATAAAGATAAGAGACATCAATTATTTTCACGTAGCAGAAACTAAGATGCTTATACAATTATTGCTATATGAAGCTTCTGAATGTAAGTACATAAATGAATCAAATGACTCCTTCCGGATCAACCTTGTCAAAAAAATTACATAATTGCAATGCTAGCAAAACGTTCAGATGAAATTCCTAATGGACATTTGGAGGAGAAAGTCGAACAGCAATGATTGTACAGACCTGAATCACAAAGGAGTACGTTTTTAACGTTTGAGTTAATTTAACGATAAAACTCTTGAAGAGCATCTCGCAGCTTTCATCAAACTATTGTATCAGCTACACTCATATTGCTTAAACTAACGTGTGATCTATGCAGCCTGTTAAGGCCTTGGAAGACGTTGGATTATTATAACTAATTGTACTCGTTCGTACATAACTGGTTACATATTTGCATTCGCTTGCACGACGAGGAGACGTCAGAGTAGTACTAACATGTTATTAACGTGTGTTGGCAGCTAAGATCATGAAATGATCGTATAATATGAAACGTTGTTGCCCCTTGTTTTACACGCGTTGCGCCGACTAAATTACCACTAATTATTGTAAATTTAACAACGAACAACGCCTCCCCGGCGCGGCGTGTAGTCAACATGTAAGTTATAGATAGAAATTACAAGATCCGCAATGCGATTATAAAATCCCGAAATCTGCGTAACAGTTAACTTGTACGTACAATATTCATCGTGTGTTTCGCTTGTAAACGTATTGTGGAAGACATCGATCACTTACAACCAGCAATATAATATTGTCACGTTCACTGCGGTCTAAGTAGTCTAATATTTTGCCTAGAAAGCCCCTGAATGTCGACGATTTTTGTCAAGAAGAAGGAAGACACAAACCCAGAGGAAGACGATAGGATACATTACGATGAAGCCGAAAATGTATACGCAAATAGATTCTTTCTTCTTCTTTTTCTTTCTCTCTCTCTCTCTCTCTCTCTTTCTTTCTTTTTCTTCTACTAGATTTTCTCATCTTAAATAGATCATTTTGCTAGATATGTGTAAGTTCTGGTTGAATATAAATATACAATCTCAAAACGTCTCGAACCTTTTGTATAGCTTTCCGATCGAACAAATCTGTATGTTACATCTATTCAAACGAGCAAAGGGATACATGTTTTCTTTTTTTTTATAGAATCTCCCTAACCGATGACATCTAGCTAGAATCATTTCCCCTTATCATTTTGTACGATTAAAACGTTAAAAACGCTCGAAAATCAGCAAAAATATAAACGCCGTCATGTTGATCGAAAACATTCGTATACTCAAGGAAACGCATCAGCGGATTGCACTGCAGCCGATAAAAAGCAGTACGGGGTTTCATACATATTTATACTCGATATAATATTCTGTCATACGTATGATGAATTTGCAGATAGCGATCGAATGAATCACTGTTGAAAATCAATTGACGCAAGCTGCAATTGATGGTTCCCTTGAATCTGTATATCTACATGTATTTTATTCGTATTTCAAGTTTTCTATTTCTGCGAGGGAGACAAACGGAGATCGTGGAAACTGAATCATATATGCGACGCGTTCAAAACGGCAGACCGATTTCAAAGGCATTAATCAAGGCAGAGCCTGAATCATACACTCCGATAACGCCGAAGAGTATCCCGAGAAATATTACGAAACAATCATACGCGACAGCGCTCCATTCCATGGAATTTCTCTTTAGCTTCAAATGAAAATAACACGGCCATATGAACGATAACATGGTACCGGTGAACGAGCCTATGAATCCCATGAGAATGCTGAAGTGGGGTATGAAGATCGCCATAAGAATGGTGAAAACGATCACGCCGACTCGCCACGCTAGACCCCAGACTTTTAACTCGCGATCCACCGTCCATATCGTTGGAAAGATCGTCTTCGGTCTACCCCTAAAGAACGCTCTCTCGAGTAGTTCGCAGGCCGCGTAATACGGCAACGGATAAGAGAGCACGGCCTTTATGACCAGACAAAAATTCACCAGACCTTTGAAACCAGCCGAGTGTAAATTATTCGTGATCACCTGCTGCGTGTCATTTTGGAAAGTCAGAAAACAGATCCAACCGAAAAGCGACTTGAACGCGGCGGCCGCGATGTGGCTCCAGTTCAACATCCAGTCGAACTTGGACCGATCGATCAGATTGCCCTCCAGCGTGGGTAAAAATATCTGCGAGGTGTAGCTGAATACGATCACGCCAAGGGAGATCGGGAAATTCTTCAGATCGATAGTCCATTTCACTTTGGACCAGCCCCAATCACCGATCTCCAAGATGCAATAGCCGACGATGATCGCGTTTATGAACAAGTGTGACATCGTACACCAAAAGCTAAGCACCGATACGTGTTGTAGAGACTTGAGAAAGCCGAGAGGCAGTAAAAATATCCCTATCAGCATCATCCAACTCCTAGTATCGATTGCGCCTTCGGGGAACGTTCCTATCATCAAGTCACCGCAAACGACCACATATAAGATACAAGTCATAAGCAATTCGATAATTTGAGCGATGTTTACCGCTCTGGCCCCCCACGTTGGCCCGAAACATTCTTTCGCGATAGCTACGTACGAATCTCGCACGCGTACGCGTTGGCCAGTCGTGGTGTCCAATTCGTACAAACATTCGACGAGTATCTTGCCGGTGTAACAACAGATATGAGCTATACCAATCATCGCGGCAATGGCCCAATAACCGCCTCGTAACACGGCGAATGGCAACGATACGATGAACATACCCTGCAAGTGGAATGAATAGATCGATCGTTTCGTTATCAATCCTCAGACATCGTATGAATATCAGGATCTATCTGAATAGTACCTGTATAGCATTTGTAACGTTCCATGCGGCTTGCCATTCGTTAATTTTCACTCCCGAGCCACCAAATTCGCCGCCACCTTCATCGTATTCGCTAAATTCACCGCTACTGACGCTTCCTGTTCTAATTTTGTCCCTGTAATATTAAATTGAGCTCTTTTTATGTGAGAGTTTCTCTTTATCTCTAATTATCGAAAAATGACAGTATAGTAGGGTCGCCTATGTTCAAAATCTTATTATCCGGACGTTCTACTATCCGTTATTATATGAATATTCACTGATAATCGATCTTTTTTCTAGTACTGAACTATTTTACATGTATTAAATTAAAGATACTTCATTTATTTACCCGTTTCGTTGATAACTGAAAGAGTCCTCGGCGATGGCTACATTATTCTGGTCCCGATATGCTTGATCTCCGTTCATAGTTATCATTTCCGTATTATCGCGACCCTCGTCGAACGATTTAAACTGTGCATGTCCACTTTGTCCTGGAGCCTGTGGTTGACCTGGTCCTGGACCGCGAATAAGTTCCATACAGGGACTGTTCTCTGGCCATTTAGCTTTCAATGTTTCCCAGGCAACGTTGATCGTTGCACCCAAGGATGGTATGTAGAATCCGCGAAAATTGGCCATTGTTTAATTCGTTGCTTCTGTAAGAAGGCAAGTTACTCTTGTGTAATATGAATTTCTTCAAGGTTTGTTATAAAATTATCATTTGAAAATCATAATAAGCAATATACTCGACTGTGTCGTTGAACGATACTTGATCATACAGATTATATTATTTAATGTATAAGTTTTATGCATTTACATAAAATAGACATAATGTACAAAAATATATAAAATATCCAAAATACAATATCTGTTGTAATATTTAATAAATGAAACCCTCTATCTAGATTCTGCTTTCTAAATTATTTTCGCAAAAACGAGAATTTGCATGAAAATAAAAAATAAAGGAATTAACATTAGTACAAAAGTACATGACGACTATCAACTCTTTTGAATGAATAGTATTGCTCAGTGTAATTCTGTGCCTACCATTATGAAGCATATCTAATATTGCATATCAAATATACATATTTATAAAATCCTTTCAGTTTATACTTCTTTCATGTATATTATACAAAGTATCAAGAAATGTAATATAAATATTCATATTTTACGAATATCAATAAGCAATAAAGTTCACGAAATTGGGATATTCCCACAGAATATTTCCACCATCATCTACTGGTATATTTTTTAACGATTCTCTTTAAACTAATTATGCTTATTTACATTAGTAAGAATTCGAAACTCAATCAGCTTTCCTACTTTAATAAAAATAACTAGAATAACAGATGCAGCACAAGTGCATAGATGCACAAAACAGATGCAATACAGGTCATGTTAATCACTTGAATGAGAAGAATGGTCGAATATATAGCTTGACACAATTTCGTCTAAATTAACGAGTATTCTTCATACACGTGTAATCGAACCCCGTGTTTAAGCGACAATCCCTTATCATGTTCCATCAGTTTTTAATCGATTTAATCGCTTTGTTTCACGTACAATCACTTCCAAACTTCTCAATATACGTGTCTGATGTCTTCTCTATGGATGTTCGTCCCTGATTTCTTGCGCTCTCAAATATCGACCGAAGTCTCGATTTCTTACTTCACTTACCGAATAGAATTCGTCCCGCAAATTTTCAGGGAAAACAATGCGACGACAGGCGCAACTTCCTCCAGCGCGAGTCTCGTTTCGTTAGTTTCTCTTTTTCTTTTTCTCTTTCTTTTTTTCTTTTTTTTTTTTTTTTAGTTTTTTCCGATTTCTTTGGCCAAGACGGAGCGAAAGACTTAAACTAAAAAAGGGTTCACAGCAGCAGCAGGTCCGAAGAACGGAAATACTTGAAAATAAAAGGTCAAAACTGTCTAACTACGTGGGCTACGATACCGCATGGTCGTCTACGGTCTACCGCGATCGTCGAGTCCCTAATCGCGAGCTCTTAATCGCGACAGAGAGACTACGGGGTTGGCGTGTCAGGGGTTGGGAGATCAGAAGAATATGGCCAGCATCCCTTAAATGCGCAAGTCTCGATCGATGTGGTCCGCGAGATATCTCTCAACACGTCAGTACTGTAGTAAAATCACATCTCCCCACGCGAAACAAATTGGGCAAATAAAATTGCAAATTGGTAATTGATGATGGACGTGTTTCATATAAATGATTGAATTGATTACATGTTTCTTGAGGCATCTAACTACATCTAGCATTATTAATATTAAAGTTACTGATACTGTAAATTTTGTACTGTATCAGGCTCTACATCCTGTTTATGTAGAATGGGAGAGCACTTGATAAGACGAGACTGATATCGAAACTTGCAAGAGGAAGTCGCAATTTGAACAAATGATTTTTGAATGAAACTTGAATTATAAAGACTAAAGCATTTTTATTTCTTTCTCAATATTTATCAGAGAAGCACTGTTTGAAATATATTTTTTTATTTAATGTATTAATTGGTTGTAAGATAATTATTTCTCGAATAATGTATAAAATAACAGTGGAAAACAATAAACGATTTTTTTTTATAATTATAGAAAAGTAGAACAGATATAAGATTTTCAGGGTAAAATCTCCTTTTTAATATTTATTTTAAAATACACAAGTAGATCTTTTTATTTATTTTCTAATATAAATAAATATTTTACACTTATCGTGTAAAAAGTATTTAGCATTTATCGTTCATAATCTTTATCGAAATATTTTCAAAGGAAAAGCGATGTATGTACATATCTTATTGCGCATACCAAATCAAATAAGAGATTAGTTAAGATTGTATTCATATTCATAAAACTGATAAAATTTTTCATGTATCATAAAATAATGGGTAGTAATATTCTTGAATAAAATATCGGATAAAATTGATAATAAATTAATATAGTTGTCTATGTATAGTTTTTTTACACTTAATAAATTCTTTAGCTTTGGAGATAAATAAAATTTATTTCCAAAATAATTTCAATATAAAATATTTAAATTACAATACGTTTAATAAATAATTATTTAAGATATATATATATATTTTTTCCTCAATTTTGAGATAAATAGGTACTTCTTGTGAAATGTTATCAAATATTCAATACATTGTCTGAACGTGAAATTTCACATTTTGTCTATTTTATATATTATATTTTTATCGTTATATACCTTTTAAATACATACCAACATGAACAATTTTATATATATATATCTTCGGAATTTTTTCAAAGAAATTGATCGATTAAAAATATGTTATATATATATAAGTGTCCAGGTGTTTTAATCTATAAATGGAATTATCTTCTAAACTATTCATTACTCGAAAAAATGTCAAACTTTTCGAACAATAAAAAAAAACTGTCGAATTTTTTTATATTTCAAAGTATAAGTAATTTAAGGACTCTATGTATTAGTTTGTTAGTTAGTTTGGAATTCTATGTTTTTTTATACACAAATTGGATTTTTTTATTCTCTATAAAAAAAAATATTAGTATGTTGAAAAATTATTTATAGTTGCAATCTACTTCAAAGTAAGATATTAATGTTATAAATATTAAAACTCAAAATAATTATTTTTTACTCATAAATTAATACTATAAAATTTAATTAATTAAATTTAATATAGTAAAAAAACGTCATACATGTAGATGACATTTGAAATTAACAAAAATTTCATTATTTTATATGTAGTTATATGATAAGATGAAATTTTACTATTTCATATGATACAATCTTAAAGGTATTGAGACAGAAAAACAATTGTTTTTAATAAATAAAGAAATCAACTTGTTTATTATTTATCTTAGATATGTTACTTTTCATAATGATAATTAATAATTGGTATTAACTTTACAATCATTTGTGTCCCTGCGTTTTATAATTCAAATTATAACAACATCCAAACGAGCGTTTTGTGCATACAACATAAATACTTCATTATAATAATTTGTATACAAAATAAACGCTAATCATTGGATTTAATAATTCCGATAACAATACAAGGCCGTGAGATCAGAACAAAAGTGCTTCTAACTTCTATTCTAAAGATATATGTACATATCAATGAATTTATAACTTAATTGCAATAAAAATGACTATAGCAGAAGTTTGAAATTTTCTACTAGTTTCCTACGGTACAAAGCTTTGTATATTGTGTTACTATTATTCTGTAAAGTTCTGTTGTGATTTTAAATTAAGTTTCATATATTTTATTAGCGTTAACTAAAAATTTCTGCTAAATTAAGTCGATTTATTTTTTTCAGTCTTCCACTTATATATGTATGTAATGCATTCATTTTTTTAATGAATACATACAAACCAGAAAATGTAATTTTGGATATTTTGTATATGCAGGAATGACACATAGATATTATAATAAATATACAAAGGGGAAAAGTGTTGAATTTAACACCAAAGTCGGAGGACTAATAATATGTTACCAGCTTAGGCTAAGAGAATACAGCTAAATATTTGTCTTTAAATAATACAGTCGTAGATGTACCAGACCAAATTTTGTACTAACTAATTACCCACCAATTACAATTAGTATACCCACAAATTTACATTAAATTGAACATAGTGATAAACAGAAAACACACAAGCAAATGCCATGAGATATAGATATTTTTTAAAATTTTTATAATATAATATTCCACAATGTTCAAATATTATACAGATACTGTGCAAATAGTTTCATTGAAGAAAATATTTTTGTTTTACAGATCTAACAATAATCTATAACGCAATTAAGACATGACAATTAGAAATTGATTCTTTAATAGAGGATATCAATTATCAAGTTTAATGTTCATGTCGAAGTATTAATTTATGTATATATTAATAGGATGTTGAAGTAATTAATTTACTCACTGACATCCCTTTGTGTTTGATGTGAATCAGTATCTGATGTTAAACTTTCAATAGCACTATCGGGTTGTGAAATTGTTTCAGAACTCCTAGTCATACAGAGTTTATTAGATTTAACTTCTGTACGACTGGATTTAAAATTCTGATCTAGATTTGAGTTTGAAGTGGAATGTAATGATATATTAGACTGAGCAGAGACAGGTCTTTGACATGAATGCAACATTAATTCTGGTCCTCCACCATATGTAGTTAAAAAGAATTGCCAGAGTTCTTCTGGTATTTGCCCATAATCCGAACCTACATATAAGTTTTATTAAAATTATTTATTAAAATAAAATATAAACTTGTAAATTTGAACATGTCTTAATTTGAAACTTACCAACTTTAAGAATATTTTGACCATTTTTATTTATTATAATCGAATTGTTGTCAATTGGTCCGGGTGGCTGAGTCTCTTTACCCCTTACAAAACTTTGCCATTGACGTAACCAAGCCATAGCCAATCCATATATAGCAGTAGGATTATCTGTGTTATGATTCAGTTGTTGAAATACTTCCATTTCATATTGTCTTCTTTTCTGTAACGATTCATATTTTTCTTCACAAATTGGACATTCATATAAATGAGTACATGCTGGACCTCCTCCAAACCTGAAACATTAATTTTTAAGTTAGAAACATTAGAACTTAAATTCTAACTGAAGAAATAATTTTTTGAAAATTTAAATAAATATACAAATTATAATCTGCATAACACTTACGTATTATATAAATATTCCCAAACTGCTTGTGGAATAGGCATACTAAGTTTATCTACAAATTGTGCTCTAACAGGATTAACACCACCGTGTGGACAAAGAAAATCAGAATTATCTATAGGTCCTGGTTCCGAAAATGTATTAAAACGATTTATCCATTGTCGCGATACAAAAAAGTTCAAATCAGATAATTCTCTGGATGAAATTTCTATTAATTCCATAGTTTTATCACGTAACTGTAACATTTCTGGTGACCACTTCTTATAAAATAACACATAAGCTTCACAATGCTTTACAGTTTCTGGTGAGACTTCTGTGACACATTGATCATCAAATTCAAACCATTTATTCACAATAGGATTTAATGCATAACAGGTATAATGACCACCACCAGCTGTTCCGTGATGACAAATAACTGATATTAAATCATACATAGTTACTTTGGATACACACTCTTTGTGCAAATATGGTCGCATATCTAATCCTTCTAATGGAAATGAAACATAATTTGCTATTTTTGAACTAAACATTAATTCATGACGAAACCTCTTTAAATGGACACATAGTATCTCAGGTAGTTCTAAAACTTTTGAAAACTTAATTCCATTACGTAGTTTGTTACACTTTTCACAACTATACATATTGTCTCCTTTAAGTTCATCTGCACTAAAAAATGCAGAAAGACAGTCATGAAGACTAACAACTGGTCCCCAAAACCAAGAACGCATCCATTGTAAGAACCATGACAGCCATCCAGACTGATTAGTTACATACACAACATCTGAACATGGTCCTGCCTTTTGTGGAGTAAGAGGTCCTTGATGTAACATATCAATATGATCTCTACTTGGAATGGGTAATGACAAATCTTGAAAAGTTTCTACTCTTGTTGAAATTCTATCACAAGTTAGACATTGTACGCTACTTAAAAGTTTACCATCAAATATGTCACTGATGATACTTTTTGTTTTCATTTGTTTCTTAGTTCTATACTTCACAGGTGAGTTTTGTGTTGATCTTTGTGGCTGAGAAAATGGTTGCTCCACAGTTGACTTTTTGATACTTCTATTTGTAAATTTACTTCTTAATTTCTCTGACTGAGATACTCTAGAATATCTTCTTTTTGTACCACGTTCACCTTCATCACTAAGAGAACTTTGTTCACTTACTCCAGAATCACAAGTTTCATACTCAGCATCTGACTGGCTAGAACCATTCCCATCAATTTCAGTTTCATCTTCGTCTGAAGATTGTTCTCCTAGTCCCTTCAATCTTAACACACTGTCACGGTCATCTTCAATATGTTCTTTTAACTCTTCATGTAACTGATCCATAAAACATCTCAAGAATTCTTGAGTATCATGTTGATGATATCCTCTGAACATTGGATGAACTGTTCGAATACCAGATAATATTCCATGTGGTACAACATATCCTCTTGTTTTCCTATTCCACATGTCTCGAATAAGGTTTAAATAGCTTAGGCTTAAACCAGGCTTTCTATCTTTGGACATATAGCTAACCATATGACCACAATCCAAGAAGAATTGTGTCAAAGGAGGTACATTTGATAAAGCTTGAAGTGCTGCATTCATGTAACATGTATTACCAATGTTTTGAAGACCAACAAGACCCCTTGGCTTTCCAGAAAAATCTTTGCTCTCATCCGAATCTGTACTGTCTGGGGAATCACCAGATTTTTCATTAAATAATCCATCTTTTTCATAGTTCACTCTATTTATAAGCTCACCATAGAACCTATTATTCATAAAATAAAGAATCCTTTTATTTTCTAAATACATACAGTTGGAAACTTTCAACATTTATTTTCATAAATATATATATATATATATATATATATATATAAAATATCTATAAAAAGAAAAAACAAAACTTACTTATCCAGTATAAGTCGATTAAGATCATCTGTTTTACAATCTATATTAATAGGTGCATCACCGGCAAACTTGTTATTTTGTGCTTTTATCTCCACCTGAGTAGGTGACATTGGTGGTGACGGTACATGCCTAGTTATAACTTCTCTTTTACAAGAGTAACACCATATACGATTTGTAGAAAGATTCATATGAGCACAATGATTAGGAAATTTTTGGTTGTGTACAATACTATGATCCAAATGAGTTTCTGGGCATCCGACCCAACGACAATCAGGAAATAAGCATAACCATAAATTAGGCCCATCCGTATCACATTCACTACATTTTTTAAACTTTTCCTTTTGTGACACCACAATCTCAATAAATGCGAGATCACCACGATTAGCGATATGAGGACAATTCCTCGAAATCAAAGGCATTTGGATTTTGATGTTTGTGCTGTTGATTATTATTGATCATAGGACGCGAAATCGCGCGTGCACTTTAGTTTTTCACATTCGTCTGAAATTTGGTTTACATACGACTGGAATAATATTACAATCATTTTCTAACCTGACTGGGACATGACGTTCTTGGTAATCGAATATTATCCACGAAAACGATTGTCATTGGAGATAGTTGTATCAAGAAAATTAGCTATTATAATCGGATAGCCAATGTAACAGAAAGAATATAGGTTGGTGTACATGTTACAGTCGATAATCGAATTGAAATTCGAATAAACGGTTCATGTGTCATGCTAAATTTATATTAAAAAGTTGGCATCTATATACATATGTATATATGTGCTCACATACATATATATATTATATATATATATATATATAAATATCTTAATTTCTTATTTCTAGTGTATATTTATAATGAAAACATTTGTAATTTATATATAGTGATGTTAATCATAACATTTATCTAAAGATATTCGTTGCGACAGATGTCGCGTTGTTAGAACAAACTTCAAGTTGGCTACGACTATGTATTTTTCTTAATAACCTAATTGAAAATCAAGTAAAAAGTGCACATGGATTATTAACGTACATTAATAAGTTTTTAACATTCTACGAATATTTTGATAGTATAAATAAACGGTTCGTCAATTTTTGTGCAAATATATTTATATTGGTAATTATAAAAAGTCTATTATCACATAATTCGTAGAATTTTTAAAATTAACCTATATGATAACCTTCTGTTTTCAATTTACTAAAATAATATAACAGACATAAACGTTCTTTCATATAGAAAAAGATATTTATTAATAGAAGAAATTAGTTTCATTTATATGATTAGAAAAAATTGTAATATCTTACATGAACATTTCTATTATAAAATTAAATAAATGTAACTTTCTTCATATAGCAATAAAAATGGTGTTGTCGTGTCGATTTTATAAAGAAAAATATCCAGAAGTGGAGGATGTAGTAATGGTAAATGTACGTAGCATAGCTGAAATGGGAGCATATGTACATTTGTTAGAATATAATAATATTGAAGGTATGATCCTTCTTTCTGAATTGTCTAGAAGACGTATTAGATCTATTAATAAACTTATTAGAGTAGGAAAAACTGAACCAGTTGTTGTTATCAGGGTTGACAAGGAGAAAGGTGAAGCATATAAAAGTTATATTAATGAAATAATTTGAAAATTATCTTTATCTTATTTAATTATTTATTAAATAATTCAATCTAGGTTACATCGATCTTAGTAAACGTCGTGTATCAGCTGAAGATGTAGAAAAATGCACAGAAAGATATGCAAAGGCAAAGGCTGTAAACTCAATTCTAAGACATGTTGCAGAATTATTACATTATGATAGTGATGATCAGCTAGAAGAATTATATCAAAAAACTGCATGGCATTTTGAAGAAAAATATAAGAAACAAAAAGCTTCTGCATATGATTTTTTTAAGCAGTCAGTTTTGTAAGTACAAGGAATGAAAAATGTAAAAATAAATGCAAGATTTACGTGATAATAGTTGCTAAAATATTGTTATTTTAGAGATCCATCTATTTTAGCAGAGTGTGGACTTGATGAACACACAAAGGAGGTATTATTGAATAATATTAAACGAAAATTAACTTCCCAAGCAGTTAAAATTAGAGCAGATGTAGAAGTAGCCTGTTATGGTTATGAGGGAATTGATGCAGTGAAAGCTGCTTTAAAAGCTGGATTAGCTCTTTCTACAGATGAACTTCCAATTAAAATTAATTTAATTGCACCTCCATTATATGGTACATTTTTGTACATATATACATTGTTACATAATCTTCATCTATAATTAAAAATTTAAAAATTGAATTTTTTTTTAGTTATGACAACATCTACACCAGAAAAACAAGATGGTTTAAAAGCATTAAATGATGCTATTGATGCTATACAAGATAAGATAACATCATTGGGAGGTGTATTTAATGTTCAAATGGCTGTATGTTATATTGTTATTACAAACTTGTTTATTTTGTTTAATTTATGTATATTGTAACAGTTTTTAAATTTATAGCCAAAAGTTGTTACTGCAACTGATGAAGCAGAATTAGCACGACAAATGGAACGTGCTGAACTTGAAAATGCTGAAGTTGCTGGTGATGATGATGAAGAAGAAGTGGAAGGAATGGATGGATTTAGTGGTGGCGAAGGCGCAGAAGAAGATAAAAAATCTGGAAATGAGTCTCAAGAAGAAGAATAAACATAAAATAAACTAACAAATTACTATGTTTCATTAACTGACAGTTATTCCTAAATCAGAATCATACTTTTATAAGTATGCTACTGCCTTGCTGGACATTATGCAGAATATTTCAAATAAGTACACAATGTATTATAATTTATAAATAATTTTCTATCGATTTCATAAAATAAACAAATCAATAACGTCTAAATTATCATTAATAGAAAAATTGTTTTACTATATCAGCAAAATATTTTTAATGTCCTATTCAAGAAATTTAAATTCTAATCTTTTACATATTTATATGTTAATTACAATTAACTTACCTATGTATTTCATCTTATTAGAATACAAATTTTACACAAATATTTGAATTTTTTATATTTTTATTGAAACTTCATACAGTTTTATTTTAAATTGATTATTCATTTGCAATTGTAACTTCCACTTCAACACCAGGTTCAATGGAAATGCTTGTAATTTGCTTTACAATTTCTGATGGTGAATACAAGTCAATAACTCTTTTGTGAATACGCATCTGAAAACGATCCCATGTTTTCGATCCTTCACCACATGGTGTTTTACGCGTGGTTATCCTTAAAATTTTGGTAGGCATACGAACTGGACCCTTTACTTTTAATTTTTGTTTATTTGCTCCATTTATCAATTCCGAACAAACTAAAACAATAAACAAATTGAAAATTTATGTAATAAAATAAAAAAATGTATTATATAGAAATAATATATACAGAAAAAATGAAATTACCTTTTTCGAGAGAACGCACGTTTCGTGACGTTAATGTAATCCTAATTCTGTGAATAGGAGTTACTTCTTGTCCTGGTTTTTCAGGGTTATCAACTTTTGTACTTGCCTAAAATATTGTCAAATGAAATATAGTTATTATTAAGTATTATATAATAGTATAATATTAAGAGAACACAAAAATATGAACCGCATGTTTGCAAATACAACTAACCTAACAAACAGAATTGACAAGCTTATATTGACAAATTTATAATTCATTTAAAAAATTCAATTAAATATTTTATTTCCAATAAAAAAATTATCGAAATAATCACGTACCATTGTTTAACTGCTTTCCTGGTCGAGATAATCAATTTCTTTTTAAACAAAATTGATTAGCGCTGAACCAATACACGCGCACGTTGCATGTGCTAAATAGAAAAGAGAGAGGAAACAACATGATTTCCGGTTAGGTATAATTTAATGAAAGTGCATTGATAAAATGGTTTTCTTTATGTACAAACGATATTAATACTAACGATAAAATTAATATTTGTACTAATAAATTTTATATCAATTTATAATTTAAAAATCAAAGATAATATTTATATATTTTTATATATTTATATATTTATATATTATCATCAAGTTACAATCGTATGCAAAGATTATTAATAAAACACATAAAACATGTAATATTTACAAATTTTTTTTATATTTTTTTATATTTTCATTTTTTGTAATATGCATTATCGGATTAATTAGGAATTTTTTATTGTACATATTTTTTGTTCCAAAATCTACTAATTACATATATTTAAATGTCATTTTCATCAAAATTCTTTATTAGACTATGGTTTAATTTCGGTTCGATGTATATAACAGAATCATTATAATATTTGGCGTAATATGTTTTCCCATATATTCTAACCAATAGTATTATTATTATTTTCCTTTTAGTACTTTTATGTTAGTGTTGTTTAACTACTTGAATCTGAAGTATTCTCCAATAAAGTTAGACGTAGATAACTTCAAGTGATCAAATTGCGCTGTCGCGTCCTTTGACACGCTTAATCGTTTATGAAAACGATTTCGCTACATTTTTGCTGACATTTTGATCGTTTTACCATGCCAAATATTTACAAAAAATTCAGGAAGTTACGTCGAAGGCGATATATTCGCACTTAGTAGTAATTACAACGTGAAAGTGTGTGAACTCCAAAAACTAAGATAGTGCCGTGTACCCATCACATATATTTGCTTTATTGATATTTTGAGTGTCACAGGCCTTGTGGTGCCTATGCATATCTTGAGGTAATACGTCCTCTAATAAACGTAATATTCAACATCTTTTGTATAATAATGTATTTTAAAATTCTTTATCTCTGTAAGTGTGCTAAATAGTAATGTTGTTTACATTGTTTTCTTATATTTATGCACGAATCGGAGACATAACCTGTTGTGATGTTTCATTATAATTCGTTTTAAAATAATTATATCGTATTTTAATATTAGTAAACATAAATTAGCATGTTATATTATCTTTGAATTAATTGATTTAAGTTATATTTCTCTTATATGATTGATGTTTGTTCCGCGTATGTAGAAACTTTTTCTTACAATTTGTTGATATTAAAAGTATAAAGGCACGTAAAAATAAAAGTTATTAGTTTAATAATAATATAAATATTGATGTTCGCTTTTCTTTCTGATTAATTTGTTCTTTTTTATTTGTTGATTTTATGTTTATTTCTTTCATTTTTAATATCATAAATTTATGTTTCCTTATTTAGTTATATAATTGACTAAGCGTCATATAAAATTATAATTATATTGTAGATTATCATATACATTGAGTTATAACTTACATTGTAAAATATATAGTTTCAAGAATAGCACAGTGTAATTTTAAAAAAATTCATTTTAATAGAATTATTTTATTAGTTAAAACATTCAATATAATATTTTAAAAATTACAAAACAATCACTAATCAGATATATAACATTTCAGAATTTGGACTGTGTTCTAGATTATTTTAAGAATATAAAGTTTTTCACATTTGGTTAAATCATTTAGCAAACATGTCAGAAATAGTTTACCCGCAAGGGTGCAGATCTGTCACAGAAGATCTGGGTCCAGACGAACTTATTAGAAGATTAAAGGTATATCTGATAAAATATTTTATACATATCTTATTTCTTACACAGAATATACATATAAAAAAAATAACAATAAAAGAAATAATTCATATTAAAATATTTACTAAATAGACATTAGCTCATACATTACAAGCAATGGGCCAAGATGAAGGAATGTATCAACAATATATACCACTTGCATTACATTTGGCTGAAGAACATTTTTTAATGCATCAAAGTAAAGATGTACAACTTCTAATTGCGTGTTGCATTGCCGATGTTTTGAGGGTTTATGCTCCAGAAGCTCCATATAAAGATGCAGAGCAGGTAATAAAAGTTAATTAATTACAAAGTTTTAAATACAGAATATTTTTTACAAATATTTCTATTTTGTTTTATTACTAAAATTTAATAGTAAATTACTAATAGTAAAATTTAATAAACTTTTATCTGTCATAGGTCAAAACAATATTTTTGTTTCTGATTAAACAGTTAGCTGGATTAAAAGATCCAAAAGATCCTGCTTTTAAAAGATATTTTTATCTTTTGGAAAATTTAGCATATGTGAAATCATTTAATATGTGTTTTGAATTAGAGGATTGCCAAGAAATCTTCTGTGCACTTTTTTCTCTTATGTTTAGGATAGTAAAGTGCGTATAACATGATTATACAGTACAATACATAAATGAATAGTTAACAAATATAGTTAAATATATCTAAATAAGTATTAAAGCCTCTTGTGATTCTAATGATTTCAGCGATGAACATTCTGGAAAAGTCAAAAGTTTTATGTTAGATGTATTATGTCCACTTATTACAGAATCAGACATTGTTAGCAATGAACTTTTAGACATCATACTTATGAATATCGTAGAACCAAACAAGACACAGAAGAAAAATGCATATTTACTAGCAAAAGAACTCGTAATCAAATGTAGCGATACATTAGAACCATATATTCAAGCAGTGAGTAAAAAAAAACATTATTTTTATTTATAAATCTATAACACAAACAAAACAGAAGTTAATAATACAAAACATTTAATATTTCAATATTTAATTTTAATATTTACAGTTCTTTAACCATGTATTAATCTTGGGCAAGGAGGAAAAAAGTTTACAAATTTGCAAGAAAGTGTACGATTTAATTTATGAATTAAATCATATATGTCCAAGCGTCTTGTTGTCCGTCCTACCACAGTTAGAATGTAAATTAAAATCTTCCTCAGAATCTGAAAGATTGGGTGCTGTAGCATTGTTAGCAAGAATGTTTTCTGAGAAAGGGTCTCAATTAGCTGTGCAACATACGCAATTATGGCGCGCATTTTTAGGAAGATTTAATGACATCAGTGTATCAATTCGTATCAAATGTGTGCAGTATTCAATGCATTTTTTATTAAACCATCCCGAATTGAGGAAAGATATTACTGATACTTTAAAATTAAGACAACACGATGCGGACGAAAGTGTTCGATACGAAGTTGTTATGGCTATAGTGACCACTGCCAGGAGGGACTTTGAAGTAGTGTCAGACAGTGAAGATTTATTAGAATTTGTTAAAGAAAGAACATTAGATAAAAAGGCATGTTATTTTTTATATAAATCATTATATTTATATGAACTGTAAAATATGATAAAATATTAATAATTGAATTAATTTTCAGTTTAAAATCAGGAAAGAAGCAATGGCAGGATTGGCAATGATATATAAAAAACATTTGAATGATGCAGATGTACCGCAAGCTACAAAAAAGGCTGTTACTTGGATAAAAGATAAAATATTACATGGTTATTATATGGCAGGAATGGAAGACAGATTATTGGTAGAAAGATTATTAAACACTTGCTTAGTTCCTTATCAACTACCAGCTGGTGAAAGAATGAAAAAATTGTATCATTTATTAGGTACAATTGATGACCATGCATCTAAAGCATTTGTTGAATTACAAAAGCATCAACTTGCGTAAGTACATTTTTCTTATTTTTTTATATATTATTTAATACATTCATTTTGTATTTTTATATGAAATTTTATACTTTAGTGTGCGAAGGGCAGTGGTTGAATGGTTAGAAATTGTAAAAAAGTCAGATGCTATGGTTGAAGTTGTAACTAAAATCCATCAAATATCTCGCTTTCTACCAGATCCTATGAAGGTGCAAGAATTTTTACAGAAGTTTAGTGCTCACATGAAAAAAGATTCAACTTTATTGCAAGGAATGGAAACAATAGTTCAACCAAATGTTTCTTGTAAAGAGTGCGCAGATACAATAAGTATGGTTCTTAAAAAATTAGGTCAACCTGTCATGACAAATTTGTACTATAACACAATAAAAATGTTATTAGAAAGAGTCAGCTCTGTAATGATTGATGAAGAAGCAATTAGGGTAAGTATATATGGCTATTTTTTTCGTATATATATCTCATATTCATATTCTTACATTATATTTACATTATAAATATCTTACGTTACATTATAACAGGTCTTAATTGGATATGTATTAGACTGTTTAAAAGGAGGCAATGTAATAGAAGAAGTTGGACTTAATCCAAATAATGCAGGTGAAAAGGGTCTGAGGTTACTTGTGGTATGTCTGTAATTTTATTTTACAAAAGCATTTTCATTATTTACGTTTAAATACATATACAATGTTTTTCTTCTAGATGCTCTCATTCGTATTTGGTCCACATTTTCTTCACAATGATATTCTTATGCAACTTGTCCAGCTTTTGCAATTGGAAGATGAAATGGTAGCACCATTGGTTCTTTCAATTTTCACATTTTTAGGAAAATATAAACCTTTATGTGATGTTGCGCCGGATATTATGAATCTTATGGTTCCAATATGTAAAAATTTCGCAGAAACAGGAACACCGAAACAAGCAAAACAAGCTGTCAGGTGTTTATTTGTTAATATGACTAATATCCATGATACTATTTTTCCTGAAATTATTGAAAGAATTAAAAATAGTCTTACACCAACTTCAGAATATTATCGAACATCTATAGTTACATTAGGTCATATAGCTTATAATTTACCAGAAAAGTATCAAGTACAAATAAAAAATATGGTATCTAGGAAGGTAAATCCTGTTCAATTGCTATTATTTTAAAATTATAACATGATTTGATTTAGCTTAAGTGTAACAAATTTATAGATAGTCAAGGAGTTATTAGTGAAAGAAAGCAGTGAACAAACTGCTGATACTATCGAAGGAGACTGGTGCAGAGAAGATCAATTACCTGAAGAAACACGTTGTAGATTAGAAGGATTGAAGTGTATGGCCCGCTGGTTACTAGGATTGAAGACTGATGTACTTTCTGCGCAAAAGACATTTAGAATGTTGAATGCATTTGTAGTAAACAAAGGAGATCTTTTGCAGCAGAGTCGTTTAAGTAAAGCAGAAATGAGTTGGTTACGGTTACAAGCTGGTTGTTCAATGCTAAAGATTTGCGAACAAAAAGGTGTTGGTGATCAATTTACGGCAGAACAATTCTACAATTTGTCTCAACTTATGGTGGTACGTTTTTATAAATTATGATTTATTAATATATCTTTTAAAATAAATTTTACATGTATATATAAATATAAATTTTGTTAAAGAAAATGTAAAAATATATTTTTTATAGGACGAAGTTCCACAAGTGAGAGAAGCTTTTGGTAGCAAATTACATAAAGGACTTGGAAGAGGAATTCCAAATAAGTGTTTGCCACTAGATTTTATGGGCTATTATGCGCTTGCTGGAAAGGAACAGGATAAAAGATTAAAATGTGTTTTAAAAACTTATATGCAAACCGATATAAATAAGAGGAGAGATTATGTTAAAACATTGTCATTGGGTACAGTGGAACGGGCCATGGGTAAGAAACTAAATAGTAAGGCATTATCGAAATATTGTTTAACATTATTTTTTATTATTAAAATATATATTATTGCGGAAAAAGATAAATATAAAATATTCTGTTTAATTGTTATTATATTGATATTACAGGTCAGCTGCCGCACATTCTTCCTGACTATATGTTAGTATTTGCAGTCCCTATTCTTGCACATGATCCAGAATTTACAAGTCATCTAATGATTAATCAGTTGAAAGTGATACAGCAATGTTTATGGTTTATATTAGAACCACTTATAACAAAGAATGAATATTATTGTTATGGTTTTTATAAAAATCTTATAGAACGAATGAAAAGTCATAAAGATGCTTTAAAACCTGAAGATAATAACATGAATTATGTAATTATAATAAATTATTTATTATTTATGCATTAAGTATAAATAGTTTATATTTCCTATGTATTTGCAGAAATTATGGGCTGTTTGCGATTTGGCTATGAATGTGATATATACAAAAACAACAAATTTCGACATGAAAGAATTCCCAAGTGAAACACGAATTCCCACTATGTACTTCAAACGAGCAGATGAATTATTGGCTAATACTAGGAATTACTTACCTGCTGAAATGCAAATAAATATGTCGAATCCTAAAGGAAAAGGTTCTCTTCATAATACACATTCTGTCAGTGAAAGACCACAACGTAGAGCTAAGTCCAAACAACAAAAGGAAGTGGGCATTGGGCCAAATGAAACTGATGCAAGGGTAAGACAATTAAAATAATACATAGCTTTTATACAAAGTATGATTTAGATCGTTAATTTATTATGTAGATTTAATTTATAATTTTTTTATGAATAATATATATGTATATATAAATAAGTCTTAAAAAAACTATGAGTATATGTAATTTCAAGCTGCAAATTGGAGAAGTGGAATGTATTGATGCACAGGTAAAATTATTTATAATATATTTATATTAAACATTTATTTTTATTTTGTAACATATACTTCATATTTCAAAAATATAAAATGCCATATAAATGTATTAAAAATTTTCTTACAGCCAGCAGAAGCATCGGAAACTAGAATTCAATTACCTGGTTTAGAGGAAGAAGTAAGTAAACATATTTGTAATTGCAATTTGGTGTATAGTAAAGCTATAATTTTTCAGATTGAAGAACCACCAGCAAAGAGGGCATTAAGAGAATCAGATAAAGTAAATAAATAATTAAGTGAATGAACTATATTCAAGGGGATGTTAGTAATAGGGGAAAGACTTAAAGGACGTGATGATCATAAAAATTAAAGAATCTAAAAATACTTTACAAATTAGAAAACAGAATATTTTGGTTATGTACAACAATTAATAAACCTGTCATTCGCGTATGTCTAGACAGTAAGATGTTAAGATAATGATACAGTAACGTCAAATAATTAATACATGTAAGCTTACAAGTCAAAGAACTTTATGGAGTTACATCATATTCTTAAAGAAATTAAAAATTTAGTATTTGGCTATGTAAAAGATACTCTTGTTTTAATTATGAAATGGAACATAAATTTGTTTTGCTTTTAATTTCTCTATACATTAAGAAAAGCAGTGGCACATTCAATGATAAAAAATACAATCCTTCAAACTTTATAACTGTATGACCATTATCTTTTTTATATAAGTTTTGAAAAATATTTCCCAATTAAAAGTCTTTCTTTCTTATGAAATATCTGACAATTGTTACATTGTTCACTTTTGCATTGATGAATACAAATGTTTATACTATTTCATGTGCATTTTTCTTCATAGATCAATGAAACTATATAAAAATTTTTGTAAACCATTTCCAATTAGTAAAATCCATACATGATATCATCGAATTTAATTGTAGTTTTCAGTAAAAAATAATCATATTTATTATACATCGAAACAATACACTTCATTAAATCTTTATACGCAGAAGAGAACAACATGACGTTGTTGGATTTCTGTGAACATCGTGTACTAGACAAAAAAGTGTGTCAATTGGCTTTGTGATCCAAAGTTTGTTTCTATTAATTCGATTATCATTATTATTATTATCATATTATATTATTATTAATATTATTACCTTATTACTATTATTTTATCAAAAAAATGACAATTTTGATAACCATTATTTTCTGAAAAGATAGGTATTTTATGAAATTATTTGTTTATATTTTAATCCTAAATTAATTTAAATGAGATTTGGTCAGCGCACGGCCACTAATTATTAATTTATTTCAGATAAGGTGTCCTTCTAAATACTTCAACAATATATAATACATGTATACATATAAATATCTTCGACTTCGACGATAGTGCGCATTCATATAAAAAATAATCGTAAAAATTTTTGTTATACAAAAGTATCAACAATGCACCACCAATTTAATAATCAGTTGAAGTTTATCATTCTCGAATGTGGCAGTTATTTTCCATTACTGTCATTATTGTATATGTATTATAAATTACTTTCATATCACTTCAATTCAAATTTGTATCCAAAACATTTTTATATGTATAAAAAATGTAGTAAAAGTATTATTCCGTTATCTCAGAGAATTGTATACATATTTTAAATGACTTAAAAAGCTTCATATTTTTATTTTGTATTTTATAAGGTGTTAAAAAACATTCATTGCATTTATAAATATTTATGTAATAGTAATTTTACATATATAAATGTTTTTTGTTATATATATTATCTATTGTTTTAAACATAATGTATTCAGCATATAAAATATTTTTTATTTCACAAATATAACGATCAAAAATAAATAAAACTTCTGAATAAATATAGATTAAGTGTAAAATTTTATTTATAGAATTTACTTAATATTTAGAATTAAAAATAAATATCCTTACATTTTTTAGAAAAAAATCAGGAAATTGGATACAAATTTGAATAGCATTCAAATAATTTAAAATGGGCCTAGGTTTTATAAAATTTCTTTTATCATCGTTAGAACTTAGTCTTAAGCATTAAATTGTATTAAACTTTAAGATGAGAATGAGAATTATGTATGAGGCTGTGAATGGTGATGAATGTTTGTTCTTATTATATAAACATTATAGAATTAACACATACCTATTACCTCTTCACTGAAATTACAGTACAATGCAAATTTTACTATTTTTAATTTTTTAAACATTCATAAAAGTCATTTTTTATTTGTCATGTACAAAGCATTGTTCATAAGTCATCAACAGTATATACTGTTATTGTAATATTGTTAATTCTAATTCAGCTTCTTAAAATTTAATTTGATACTTCTTTAAATAATTTGTAAGTTTAAGTTGTTTTGAATTAAAATAAAATTGTATTTTGTAGCATTATTATCAAATATCTGTTTTTATAAGTATTTAATTGCATGGTACTGCAATTTTTTCAAACAGGTTATAGACTACAAAGTATACATATTCTGATGAAAAAAAAACAATTAATCAGTCTATTCATCTGTCAATCTGTGAGACATAAATGACGCATTGTAACGGTTCTATAATAAAACAAATTAAGTAAAATGGTATGTATTTAATCAGATATAGTTACAGATATCAAAATTTAATTTAACGTTTTTTAAGATTTTTTCTATTATCCTTCTTCCCTACGCTTAAATTTTTTACACTTTTTCTTTTATTCTGATTCTTTTTAACATTTGCCCTAAAATAAATGAAATAATTGCTTATAAAAATAATATTATATATGTATGTTTATAAAAATAATCTAAAAAAATTTGTAATACCTAATTTTAATTTATTCTAATAAAATATACTTACTCGTAACGCATTTTTTTCACAGCTTTTTTACTTGTATTTGTTAAATCAGCAGCAAATGAAGATTTTGGCCGTTTTTGTGATACTAAAATAGAATTGAAATTATAAGCAAAAAAGAGATTTAATTTTTTGTAGCTAAAAAGAACAGTTTACTTTTATACTACAATATACCTCTTCTATTAGATGCAAATTTATCATCCTCAATAATTGTTCGAATTTTACTTTGTTTGTTCTTTTTTTTAGCTAATCTTGCTTGATATGCTGCAATTTTTTCTAATTCTCTTTTGGTTCTATCCTCTGCTGTTTCCTTTTTAGGTTTTTTAGATTTCTCTTTCTTTTCTTCAACTACATTTAATGGTTTTGTACTTTTTTGTTTCTTCTTCTTATTTGGTTGTTTTTCAGTTAATGATAATTTCTCTAAAAATGATACAAATTATTATGATATCTATATTGTGCGTGAAATTTTATATAACTACAACTAATAGATAAAAAAAAAATTAAAATTACCTTTTTCTTCTTTTCTTTCTTTTTGAGTTTGGAACCAAGTTCTTTGAGCCTCTTTATTATTTTCGTTCTTTAATAATTTTTCTACTCGATTTGCTTGATTTTCTATCTTAGCTAATTCTCTTTCATTTCGTTCCTCTTCTAAAATTTTGTCAACATCAGGTTCAAGAGATTGTAATTTTTTAGAATATTTATGAATTATATCAGGAGGTATTATTCGATTCTTTACTGGATTTTTTGCATTTTTAATAATCTCTTTAACTAAAGAACGTTCTTGTTCTCCAGCTAATGATACTGATACTCCAATACGACCAGCTCTTGCCGTTCTTCCAACTCTAACAAGTGCATTATCAAATAATCAGCTTTTTCTTGTAACAAATATTTGTAAAAATTTACATACAAATAAAATATCGATACCTATGAATATAATGTTGCATAGTAGCTGGCATTACAAAATTAATTACAGTTTTTACCCCACTAATATCTAAACCTCTTGCAGCAACATCTGTTGCTAATAAAATATCTATTTCTTCGTTTTTAAATTTTGTTAAATTTTCTAGACGTTGTGGTTGTGTAAGATTTCCATGAAGTTCTCCAACCTACCGATTATGTAAAATAAAAAAAAGATTAATTCAAGATTTAAAAAATTATCTTTTTTTATTATAAATCTTCATTCATATCAATATTCATTAAGCTATTTTAAATACCTTGATACCTAATAATCCTAACAGAATGTGTAATCTATGAGCCTGTTTTTTGGTTTGTACAAAAACCATGACATGATCATGAAAGGTTCTACGAATTAAGGCTGCCAAAATTGCTTCTCGATCTCCTTCTCTTTCTTTTCGTATCCTTTCGTATCGTTTATATAATAAATAAATATAAACATTAAATAAAAATATAAACATAATTAGTTGCATAAGATATTATTTTACCGGATAAATTCTTGGCGTAAATTAAAAGCGACATCCTGATTACTATCTACGAAAACTTTAACAGGTTTATCTAAAGATACAGCAGCCAAATCTTTCACCTTTTCAGTCATAGTAGCTGAGAATAAAATTGTTTGTCTACTTCTAGAGCATTGTTTTACTATGTACTTCATCTGTTCTGCAAAGTATTCATCTAACATCCTTGAATAAAATATATAATCTTCTAATTATAATATGAAAGGAATATAAATTAGACATTGTTTTTTTATTTACCTGTCTGCTTCATCTAATATAAGCACTTCGATGTTATCTAATGAAAATGATGGTGCATTTCTTAAATGATCAATTAATCTTCCTGGAGTAGCTATTACTATATCTGGGTTCTTTCTTAATACAGCTTCCTAATATAAATATAGTAATAAATTAGTACAAAATTACTGATTTGTAATATTCATTTAGTAATATTGCTACAATATAATCTACATACTTGAGTTTTCACATCTAAACCACCCACAGATAACCCTACTTCAATTGTTGTAAATTGGGATAATTGTTTTGTAACTTGATACACTTGCACACCAAGTTCTCTTGTTGGAACAAGAACAAGAACACGAGAAATAGCAGGACCATCTAATGGTCTATATAATAATCTTTCTAGAGTTGGCAACATATAAGCTGCAGTTTTACCAGTACCTGTAGCAGCACAACCACATATGTCACGACCCATTAATGCAACAGGAATAGTAGAAGCTTGTATAGGTGTAGGATGCACAAAATTCATGGTTGTTATAGCCTTTGAAGAATATACATCATGAATTAGTATTTGATAATATATGAAATATTAAATTTAAAGTCTATATAATGTAATGTATTTACATAATACCTTTAATAAAGGACGGGATAAATTCATTTGATAAAATGTTGCATGAGATTCTATATTTGAATACTCTTCAAAATTGATTGTTTCTTCGTCATTTTCTTTAATTATCTTTTTCTTTTTACTTTTCTTTTTTTTAGTCTTAAATATATCTAAAATAAAACATATTTATAATTTTACATCATAAAACAAAACTTAATGAAGTATTGTTACCTTTTTTAAGTTCATCTTCCGATAAAGATAGTTCACTATCTTCTTTTTTAATCTCAGGTAAATCTGCATTGGTTTCACTATCAAGTTCATCCTGAAAAAACAAGACACAATGGTAATTATTATATTTACCATTAGAATAATTATAAGAAATAACATAAAATTATATGTACATACTTGTGTCTCATGTTCAGACCCTCGCCTAATTCTTTTAATTTTGTCATCAAGTTTTGTTTTAGCTTTTCTTTTTATGTACTTGCTTAAGTCATTCCATGTGTCTTTATTATAATCGGAAATATCACTTAAAAATTGAAAGTTGTTATCAAAGTCTTTATTTTCTTTTTTCTTTTGTTTGCTGGGCTGAAACTACATTAATTCCGAAATTTTTATCTTTCCAAATCAAGAATTATACGAAAAATAAACATCATTTTTAATTACGTAAAGTTGTAGTAATGCAACATAATTTGTTAAATTATATCTTACATCATCTTCAATGTCAGAATCTTCAGAGAAATTTGGCACTTCTTGATCATCTTCAATTGTTTTTATTAAATCGCAATTATCCATTTCCCATAACAAATATATGTATTACAAAAATATATTACAAAGCCTCATACAACTTCTAATACTTCAACCACGTGGAACCATGTACTATAGATATGTACATACTTACGTACATTGATATTGACACATACATATAGCGACACAAGTTATAAAGTATTAATTTATGACGTATTTCCATTGACATTATTATAATAATATCATATAATTATTGTAAAATATATATTATTATTTATCAAAATACCTTCTTAATTTCAAATATGCAGTAATGATATATGAATCCAATTTATTATATGAAACTTCATGATTTTATTTGATATCAACATAAATATTATAATACTCGACATAAATAGTGCAATATTACACAATAATCATCTTAATAGAATAAATTTTAGTAAAATAAAAAAGATTTGTATGTAGTAAATGTTTTAGTAACTTTAATTTTCGTAATATCTAATGAACAAACTGTAGTAAAATATTGGCGCGAAATCTCCTTTATTTACACATGTCCTTTCGATTATATGTCTCACGTACCATTTATTTAACTTAACCCGATAATTAGGTGACTGAGTGATATTATCATGGGTATTTTAGGTTTAGCAAAATTAATAGCAGATATATCGCCAGGGGCCATTAGAGAACAGGAGTTGAAGCATTATTTTGGTACATTTATTACATATTTCATTAAAATATTTCGGAGTTCTGAATCACATTAAGATCAAAATTCATTGAAGATAACTATTTTACATTCTCATTTTTTATTCTAGGTCGTAAAGTGGCCATAGATGCATCTATGTGTTTATATCAATTTCTTATTGCTGTACGGAGTGAAGGAGCTCAACTTACATCTGTAGATGGTGAAACAACAAGGTATATACTTTAACAAGTGACTATATATATATAATTTTGTATTACTTTTAATTTTTTCAATATTACAGTCATTTAATGGGTACGTTTTATCGAACAATACGTCTAGTAGAACAAGGAATAAAGCCTGTATATGTATTTGATGGAAAACCACCAGATCTGAAAGGTGGAGAATTAGCTAAACGAGCTGAAAGAAGAGATGAAGCACAGAAGTTGTTACAGGCAGCAGAGGAAGCTGGTACTTCCAAACATCTTACTGTTTTATCTTAAAAATGATTATATTTTTCCTTAATTTGGTTTAATATTATTATATATGTATAATAAGTAGAGATTACATCAATTTATGTATCATTTTAAAATTTTTATTATATATCTTTTAGGAAATGCAGAGGATGTAGAAAAATTTAATAGAAGATTAGTAAAAGTTACAAAAACACATGCAGAAGAAGCTAAACAATTATTGCAGTTAATGGGCATTCCTTTCATTGATGTAGGTAGATATAGTAGATATAGAATAAGACATGTTTGATCATAAATTTCACTGCAATATGTTGCTCCTTTATAGGCTCCTTGTGAAGCTGAAGCTCAATGTGCTGCTTTGGTAAAGGCTGGTAAGGTCTATGCAACAGCTACAGAAGATATGGATGCACTTACTTTTGGATGCAATGTTTTGCTCAGACGACTAACATTTAGCGAAGCAAGAAAAATGCCCATACAAGAGTTCCATTTTGATAAAGTATTAGAAGGCCTTGAATTAAATCATAATGAAGTACGTAAAAATTGTATTTAAAAGGCAATTAAAAATATTTATTTTCTAAGAATTAATCATTTGTGGTTTTCGCTTATTTACAGTTTATTGACCTTTGTATAATGTTGGGTTGTGATTATACAAATAGCATTAAAGGAGTCGGACCAAAAAGAGCTATAGAATTAATTAAAACACATAGATCACTTGAGAAAATCATAGAAAACTTGGATACTAAGAAGTTTCCCATTCCAGAAGATTGGAATTATAAACAAGCTCGATTATTATTTCAAGAACCTGAAATAACAGATCCTGAAACGATTGATGTAAATATAATATTGTATATGTAACACGAGGAATAGATGATTAAAAATATTTATAATTATTTTAATTTTTGCATAAGTTGAAATGGACAGAACCTGATGAGGAAGGATTAATAAAATATCTATGTGGTGATAAGCAATTTAATGAGGAAAGAGTAAGAAATGGGGCAAAGAAACTGCATAAAGCACGAAATACTTCTACCCAAGGACGACTAGATACATTCTTTAAAGTACTATCAAGCCCAAATCCTTTGAAGCGTAAAGTAAGTATAAATAATGGTTTCTAAAATCATTCTTTTTTTCTGATCAATTAAATTTTCTTATATTAAAATAGGTGGAAGACTCAAAGACAACGAATAAAAAAAATAAAAAGGGGACAATAGGAAAACCACGTGGAAGACCACCAAAATAATTGTTTGGAATACTCATAGTTTCTTAATTTTTACAAGTCTTATATATGAATATTTATACAAATATAATGGTCTCGAATAATTTCTCGAATAATCATATATGTATAAAATTGCTGCAAATAAATCTGAATATATTACAATATAACAGTTTTATATTTATTTGATAAAACTATACAAATTCAAGTAATATTTTTTTATTTTACATATGTATACATATACCACCCAATATTTATTGTCTAACTTCCTGGTATATTTTGTTACATAGTTTTTTTTTTCATTTATATATACAAGTAAATAACAATTTGAAATTATATAAACTATGTAACTGCATATATAAAGTAAATTTTATTACAATATTTATTCAGTCTTGTTTTTGCATCATATGTCTTTATTAAAGTTTATTTGAATGTTGGATGGTATTTGGCAGTAATTAGGTGGTAGGGATATTATTTAAGATATATATTAATAAAAGAAACTGATATTTATATAACTGAAATCTTTTCTACACATAATATTCAATTGTCACTGAAATGTTATTATAGTACTACCAATAGCATTGGGATCTAGTATATGATATAATGCTTGTTCGATATTGTAAGGTCCATACACCCTGTCTACAACCATCTGTAATTGATCAGCGTCAACTAAATCGCACAATGCCTGCAAGTACGTTGCATTCATTTTCGAACCTTCTTTCCACTGATGCATATTAAATCCAAGCACGTACTACAAGAAACTTTATATAAATATCGAATTTAGAATCAAATTATTAAGTACATAATTTTATGTACCTGAACTAGTAACTTTATTCGTACACATCCAGCAAATATGCTTCCAAATATGAAACCTAATGAGTCAGATGTTAATTGTTCGGGAACAGTCGAGACATAAGAACCATAAGGCATTAAGTGCTGCTTTAATATACGTTCGTCAATTGGTTGTCCTCCAGTATAAAATATAGAATCGAATCTAAAAATACATTAATTACTTAACACAAATAAATTTATTTTCCATAAAATAATGTTTATATTTTACATACTTATCATGTAATTGCAACTCTTTTTCTACATCTGAATCGTCTAGTGCTATAACATCATCTGCTCCTAAAGCTTTTGATACAGGAATTGCATTTGGTCTAGACATTGTAACTACATATCCACCCCATAACTTAACTAATTGAGTTAAGATACAACCAACAGGGGTATTTCCACCATATATAAGTACTCTATAAAATATTTAAAAAGTATATAACAATAACTGATACTTTTCTATTTAATTATTATACCGTTTTCCTTTTGCATTGCCTTCTTGAATTGCAGATCTATTAACCAAGGCATCCCAGGCTAAGCATCCACTGTAGGGTAGACTTGCAGATGCTTCAAAGGTAAAAAGTTTCGGTCGTTTAACTACTTGACTTTCTGGGACAACTATATATTCTGCCATTGTACCAGGAGCCCATGAAGGTACAGCTAACAATACTTCATCTCCAATATCAAAATTGATAACATTTTGTCCTATACCTACCACTATTCCAGTGCAATCTCTGCCTAATGTCACTGGTAGTTCTTTGTGTTTCTAAGAATGGATAAATAAAATTTTTTAACACACTATGACAAAGTTTTAATTTACTTACACCAGAATTGAGGAGTCTTCTGTAAATTTTGGAGTAACCATAACATATCTTTGTATCAACAATATTAACAGAAGCTGCTTTAACTTGTACCAATAATTCATTAGATCTTTCAATTATAGGCATTTCTGCATCATCTATCATAGATACACCCTGTATTATTATAATAAAGATATATTTTCTTCAGTAATATTACTTCGGTTGTTTATATTATTCAGTTATATTAACTTAAAGTTATTTATTTTCATATGTATTAATATAATTTAATACAATACCTCAATACCAATGTAATGGTGACATATTACAGCTTTTATATGATGCATATGATGAGATACATGCCCCCAATTGATTCCAATATAATAACCAATTAAAGTACCAACAATTAAACCTGCTAGACAAAATGCAAGTTCTCTTTTTGACACTGAAAAAAAAAATTTTTTTTATATTAAAAGAATTATATTTCTATGATATTTTTTTCTGTTTCAATTAATATTAATATTAAGTTATAAAATGTCCAAACTTTTTGATACCTTCATTGTTATATAAACTCTTTATTTGTTTGTAAAGTCCTCTGACATTAATGTGTGCATTATAATATTGAAATTGCAATTGTTCCCAAGCATTTTCAATCCAAATAAGTATATGTTGTACAATGTCCTTGACATTTTGCATGTTTTGGTTTTCGTGTAATTTGTAAAAAACTTGACGTGCTTGAGTTAACAATGTTATAATCCATTGTTGCCCTTGTTGTGCAAGTAACGAGGTTTGAATCTTCTCTCCCCCCCAAAAAAATTTAATGTACGATATTGAAAAGAGAAAGTGGAATATCAATTATATTTTTTTAATTTGGGAACAAATGTAATAATATATATAATAAATGTAATATATATATATATATTGCTAATAAATTAAAAAAAAGAAAAAAGAAACAAAGTTGTCAATATTACTTTTATTGAAAATTGCAATTACCTGAAGTGTCTCGAATTGATTTGATAGGTGGAACCAAATCTCTTCCATTATTTCGTAAACACGTCTTGTTTGACAGTTTTAATTTAGTACATTATTTTAAATTACACACTGTTACAGTGACCGGTTAACTGGAAATGCAGCACAGTTGTGATATAAATAAACGATTAACACATTTTGTATAACTCAAAATAGATATCAAGATTCTGTTTTAAAGTATGACTGCTTCGTAAATATTGGGATTCGTCATTTTTGAGTTGCATGTAAAATATTATCTTCTTATGACTGCAAAGGAATTTTATAAGAAATGATGCAACGTCGTTTTTTAAATGAAATAGGTTAGCTCGAATTGTGTAAATTTGACGAAAGTTTATTTGTTTTGTATGTGTTACAATAATATAACGAAGATGAAATTTTGTCACGTGGTGCAAAAGTAATATTGACAAAATCTCGTTGTATATCGATAAAAAGTACTTTCGTTTTTGCCAATACAGTAAAAAATAACGCAGTAAACAATGAAACTATTTTAAAAGAAAAATTATCACCTTTGCATGTGTACATATGTTCCTGATAATAGATATATTTATATTTGTAGATTGTATAACATTAACATACATATATATTGACGTTATTTTTTTCAAGTGCTGAATAATATTTTCATTGAAAGGAAAATTATCTGCGTTTTGATTTTATACAACGAAATGGATTAGACATTTATTATTCGATTGATTGACTTCTAAAAAGAAATAATTTGTTAATGTTATGCAATTATATCGTATATGTATACATATATTCATACCTTGTCAAAAATGTAACTAATCACAATACATTTTCTTGTATTGGTTGAGAGGACAATGGCGTACGGCCAATATGTGTCATGTACGTTCGAGAATGGTTCAAACAGTTACTACTACAAAATAGACATGGACGCAGAATACACGAAGCATACAATATATTTTTCCGACCTACGATTGGGAGGTCTATGGACCCTTTTATCATTTTCATGTCATATCCTGCCGTACCAATTCAGATAAGTTTTGCACCGCCATTACCGACGACATATGTATGTAATAAGATGATTTCAGTTAGTTACTAGCTTCACATTTCGGTTTCTGAAAGTTTGACAAAGCTGCAATGAGTTTCAAAAATCATATTCCTGGCGCATTTACTACTTGACCAACCTCGATCGTTTCACTTGATGTAATTTTCTAATTTACCGTTCTTTAAATATAAAGTGCGCTAAAAAAACCAGTGATTTTTTTACTATGTCGGTATGATCACACAAAACCCCAGTAAGGTACTAGGTTTATTCATTCATCTCGTCGGTATCCATAGTTAGTTGTATTTCGTCTGTGGGTAAAGTTGAAGTGCGATAATTTCAATACTCGGTATGAAGATATAGATAAAGTAGTTGCAAAGTAGTGTTGATAAAGTAGCGTACTACTCTGAATTATTTTAAAATTTTTCATCAGATGGCAATATTTTACCTTTATATAGAATTGTTTATACGCAATTACATACAATTTCCGTTGAAACATAAAGAATTACTATAATCACTTTAATTGTATGAAAAATTAAACATTTCGAGAAATATTAAAAAAAAATTGATATTTTAATACTATGAAAAGAATCCCAATTAAAAGAGTAAAAATATTTTTTCAACAATTATAACTTTGCATGTTTATTTTATTTCTTTTTCTACTTTTCGTTTCATTTTTGTAATTATTTATTACTGAATAGTTTGCGCTGTCTCTCTATTCTTCCAGTTGAAAGACTAAAACTATATCTTCAACGAATTACATATTTATTCACGTATTTTTACTTTATATTTCTCCCTATTTTATTTCTGTAATTATTTAGTTAAACAATTTTTACTAGCTATTCTTGAACTTTCCCTACGCTCAATATATACATATATAAAATTAACAATTAAATACGTAAAATATCATTTACACCTCGTTTGCAACGTGTTGATATCAATATCATTGTAACGCGCGAATATTGAAAACTTACACATATTCTGCATTTTGAAATGCTGGCTGGATCGTGCGAAATTGTTCGATCGACCGGAAGGAGCGGCCTTTCGAACGTATCCAGAGAATGTCTTCGACGTGTACACGTTCTACGTGTGTTTCACACGGCGAGCTCCAAGGCTCGCGGCACATTAGCAAGTTGGTAGCCGTCCAGGCACGTCCTTCTGAATGAGTCCTGGCCGCTTTCCAGCGAGCAACCTATCCTTTTACGGGATATCATGGCGACCGGCTACTGAAACTCGTTGAATCGTCCAAGTAGGACCGTCGACGCCGCTTCTTGTCGGGGATTATCGCCGGCAATTGCGGCAAGTGTATCGAATTCCTTCGCGATTATCTACGAAAATTGCGATAGACTGCCCTTCCACTGGCACCGGCAGACGCGTTCCTCCGCGGCTTTCAAATCTAATCTCGTTACGGAGACTTTCATCGTTCGTTGTGACTTTTGTTTATTGAGCATTTATTTTCAATTGTTTAAGAAAATCACGGTGAAATTTTCTACGGTGAAAGAAACGAGAGATGGCGATACATCGTTCTGATTTGTTTCTATTAGAAAACGATTCTGTTGATTGCGGAGAGATATTTTCATTCAAGAGATATTATCTTCTCTTTCATTGAGAAAGTGTTTACTCTTTATAAGTTTCTATGGGAGGATTTCGTTAAGATCTTCATATGCTACTATGTAGAGATTCTATTCGTACTAATGACGATGTCAGAAAGTATAAACTTCTGATAGAATAGCTTTTGCGAGTTCCATTGCTGTGTTATTAGCAAATACATACTTACTTCAATCTATCAATCGCGTTGTTTCAAACGAATTTAAATAAAAAGAATCGTACCAATAGCTCGTATAATATACTGAAAAAAAATACCAGTTTGCAGTTTCGCGGCGTCGAATTTCAGCGAGCCAAGCCCGTATTTGCGCGTTGACACGCGTCGATTATCGGCCGCGACGCCGAAGGTTGATAGTCGAAGGCCTACCAGCCGTAACCGCGAAAATTGCATCGTATTTGCGAAACAGCTGCACCCTGAATGGTTGTCCACGGCCAGTCGTAAACTCGCGTTGCTGCTTCGGAGGTCGGCGCGATTTCTTGCGCCATTCCTTGAGATGTTTCACGCCCTAAGAAACAAAGAGAAAAATGAGGAAAGAATGACCTGCGGGGGGGAGAGAAACACAGAGAGAGAGAGAGAGAGAGAGAGAGAGAAGAGATTGAGGGGGGAGGACGTCCTGGCCTCGACACGAGCCACGTTTCTCGCGCACGCCGCTTCCTGCCTCCTTGGCCTGCTTCCAGGAATCGGTTCACCCTTTTACAGCTGAGTGTCAGCGCGTCTGGACGGTGGAATGGAGAAAGGGAAGGTCCCGGAAGTGGGAAATCTCGCGGGACTTGCGGCAACGAAAGTTTCGCGGAAAGGTGGCGATTTGAGGGCGGAGTTCCTGGAAAACGGGCAATGTTAGAGAACTGGAAGCAGTTGGGTAGGGTGGGATGGGGTGGTCTTCTACGAAGAAGCGTAGCACGACGACTTTGAAGGTTTTCGCGGAGGAACAAGCGTTGGTTTTTTTGAGAGAAAAGAAGGCTTGGTTTGGTTTGGGAATGAGACGTCCCGATTTTCGGGAATGAGACTACGCGCAAGTTGGAAATAAGAATATGAGAATGTATAAGGAAACAAGAACGCAAGGAAGGAAGTTGAGTGGATCATTTGACTTGGTAATTATTTGAAGACTTTTTTATCTCGCACAAGGGATTTAAGTTTTGAGAATTTTGGAAAAACCAATTTCTATTTATCAGTTCGATATAAATACCTAAGCTTCAACTGTTGAGCTGTTTCACGAGTTGGGAAAAATCGTATTTCGGCATCGAAAAGTCTTCATTTTTTATATTCATAATACTTATCGTGAGTAATTATTAAATAAAATTGTAATTATTAAAACTTTACGGATTCTTCGTGGTATAAAGTGTTGTTTTTCAACTCTGAAATAAATATCGGTAAACATAATACATGTACTTGAAAATAAATGATGGGAAGTTAACGAGTTATAATAATTTATATTATATTAATTCAATAACTCATAATAACTTATACTATCAACTGAATTGCGACTAAAGGCTTTTAAGTGGGGACGTACGTGTAATACCTTCGCTATTTATTTTTGTGTAATAAGAGCAAGAAAATCTTCGAACCTTCGATAACACGGCTCTCAAACATTGAAAGAAACCTTACACGTACGTAAAATTCCCGAAATTCAAGAATACATATTCCTCGAAAAGCCAAGAGAACCAAAGAATTTCCGAAGAGTCGGCAAACATCCGAATTAGGTCTTGCTCGGAAACGTTTCAGAAAAGGCGAAACCCCGTGAGCGTGGCTCGGGGAGGGAAAGGGAAATCTCAGAAGTGGGAAACCTCTGGGAACGAGACCTCGGGGGAAGCCTACGCGTCGCTCAGAAGCGGGAGACCTCGTAACAGGGTTCTCCAGACGCCACGCGACGTCTATATCCGAACGCTCCCGATGCGTTTTCGGTCCGGGAACGCTTCAAGAGAACGAGAACCCCGTGAAATCCACTTGGGCCGGAAGTAATTCTCGCTAAAGCCGGAACGTTTTACAAGGAGATCGCTGTACCAAAAAATCCAGGAGTACGGAGAGGAAGAGAAAGAAACAGACGGATGACGAACAAAAGGGACGACTGAGAAAAAGAAGAAGAAGAAGAAGAAAAAAGAAAGAAACTGAGAGAAGGAAGAGGAGGTTCGCGAGAAAAATACAGCGTTCGCCCGCGAAACAGGGCGCCATGGGGATCTGTGAATCTGCGACGAAGAAAAGGTCGCGCGACGGAGTCGGCCAAGCGGAGGAGGGAGACCTTATGAGATACAGAAATCAAGAGTAACGAAGTCGGGCGAACGCGGTGAACCGAGAGGCAGAGAAGGAAGAAAGACGCGTCCAACAAAGAGAATTGAATAGCTTGGAACGGAAAGGAGACGGGCGAACGTGAATAACGCGCGACGGAAGAGCAGCCTCGGCTACGGCGTGGAGGAAGAACCAAGGGATAGGGACCCTGCATCGAGAGAGCAGAGGCGGAAGACGGAGGCCAAACTTGTGGATGCTGAAGAGACGAGGGAAAAGCGATGGTGTAAATGTGCACGAGGTCTATTGTGCTCCGATGCGCGGAGCAATGGCGTCCCGGTCCCGTGCGTGTTCCACACGTACACGAGGTTTATTATACGCACACTGTTTCGCGGCCGAGTGCATTCCGCCTGTCGCGACTTTTCGGGATGACAAAGGGGCTGACGAGGTATCGCGCCGCTGCCAAAAAGCTGACGACACGCCGATACCGTGTGATACGTACGTACCACGCTGGCTAGAAGTTAGACCCCCGAGTTCCCCCGGGGATAGTAGGGGGCTTACGATGGGCGTGAAGTGACCGTTTGACAGCCAGTGTGTTGGCGTAGAGTACGCTCGAGGAGTGTGTCGTACGCGGTTCTCCTACATTTTTCACAAATTATTTTTGGAAATTATTTTTGGAAAACGTCGTCGAAGATTAATTGAAGAAGGGAGAGAACACACTTCTTTTTATTTTTTGTAATGGAAGATTCTATTGATTCATTGAAGAAGGAATAGATTTTTATAAATGGAGTTTGGTAACGACAGTGTTTATGACATGCTCGAGATGTGCTTCTTACTTGGTTTCCTTAGATTCTTTTATATAAATTATGTCCTCTCTTACAGAAAGTCCCGCGAATCGAAGAAAGGAAATGACAGTCAGGAATAGTTTTCTCTTTTCTTTTTTTTTAATTAGAGGTTTCGTTGATCAGTCGGAGAGAGAATAGGGTAATTTGAAGAGAGATTTGTGATTCTTTCGAAGATTCCTTGAGATTTCGCAAGGTCTAGATTAAGTTGAAATTTAGATTGGGAAGATCTGTCGTTTTCTTGGAAAAGGAAAATATATAAAAAAGAAAAATCAAATTACGACATTCCGATGTGTTCTTAAATAATATTATTCGTGAATTTTATTT